GTGCAGCATTTGGCCCTAGAATACATGATAGTTTAAGATGGGTAAGGAGTGACAACGTTGGAAGGGTATTAATGACTGAGACTGGATAGATTCAGTTTATCATATCTTAGTAAATACTCACTTTTTGGACAGAGATTCCTGTATGAGATTCAACATGCGCATAGTTGTAATTTGAAAAGGATTCAAAATCTATCAAATGACAATCAATAGCCTTAAGATGTTTTTGTATTGGGTTGGCACATGCATTCTTCATAAGTTGCCTTCAATTCTGCTTTGTTCCATGGGACTGAGTGAATTGGATTCCAGAATGTTCAATCATGTACCACATGGTGGAACAGCGAATAGATGTGCCTACTTTACACTTGATTATAGAGCTGTTCTCTAGAACTAAACAACCATGTTTTACTAAATACCTAGTTGCACGTAGCAATTTATTTGAAAAAAAAATATGTTTTACTAATACCTATAGTTGCATTTGAAGCAATTTATTTGAAAAAAATATATTCTGTAAAACTGAGGTAAAAACATTATGCAAGAGTTAATTTGCCTATTGCAGACGTCTGACTTCAAATGCTGTTTAAATTATGATTTAGACATTTATTCACATGACAAGCCCATAATCAACTCTCTAGATCATACCCACCATATCTATGTTAAATGATAATATGGTGGCATTCACGGTGATAGCCTATTGAAGGACTGAATATCAAGACTTTGTTTATTATCGTGGCAATAGTACTTGTCTACTTGACAATCAAGAATTTTCAATCCGCAATAAGCGGACACAATTTAGGCTATTTCTTGTCAAAACTTGAAACATTTATTACTTTGCTCAGAATAAATTAATTTTACTTAAGTTTTCAATATATTCTTTTTTTATTATCTATTTTTGAACTATTATAGATACAACCGACAGCTCTTTATCTAAATCTTCTATCTCTTAAACGGAATATTTAAAACTTTTTTCAGGGAAAGATACCTGCTGGTTCAGTAGCTGTAAGTTTTTAACTTTACATCTTGGGTATAAAAAATATTTAATGTGCTAGCAGAACAAATCTGGCTATAGAAAAAAATATATAGTGTGAAAGATCACTCTAGCATGGACATAGCTAGTTAGTTAAGAAAAGGGCTCACTCTCTTTTTAAATGTGCTAGCAGAACAAATCTAACTAGTTAATTAAGAAAAGGTAATCACTCTCTTTTTAAAAGTAGGCAACTGTTATATAAATTATTATTTAGAAATTTATCCATATGACAAAGCTATTATCAACTCTCTAGACCATTGGATGGCTGAGATATTAAGTGGATTAGACAGTGTTTGCCATGTCTTCACTATATTTTGAAATGGAAAATCGAGACTTCGTTTATTAATATTGTCATAGCAATGGGGTTTGATAATCAGGAATATTTACGCTATTTAATGTCAGAACCTCAAACATTCATAAGTTCGCTCAAAGTGAGAGAGAGAGAGAAATGGGGTTTAACGTCCACTCGACACAAACTAGGTCATTTCGGGACTAACTCATGGTTTAATTTTATTTCAATAATTCGCTTGCGCATAGGGGTCTTTAGCAGTGGGAGGAAACCAGAGGACCCGGAGAAAACCCACGAGGTTGGATCGCTCAAAGTAAAGTAGTTTGAAATTTTCAATATATTATTTGTTTAACATTATCTATTTTTAAACTATTATAAGGTATTATGTAGAAATGCAGAATGTTGAAATTGTATGCTTGTTTGGAAATATAAATAAAACCTTATTTATTAATTTTTGTTTTGTAGCCATGGAAGACTCCAGGATATTGTGCTCAAGGTAATTATCCTCACCAGGGAGGCGCTGTTCATCATAATGTTACTAATCCATACCCTCACCAACAGGGAGGACATTATCCACCCCCTGCTGGTTATGCCCCTCCTCCTTCAGGTTATCCAGCCGGTAGCGTTCCAGGAGGTTATCCACCCAGTAATGTTCCGGGTGGTTACCCTCCTCCTCAACAACAACAGTATAATCCAGGTGGTTTCAGTAAGTATGATATTCTGAATTTAATATTTCTGTCTTTTCTATTAATTAATTTTAAACTACCATATTGTTCAAAAATTTAAATGATTGATGTCTGTTCAATTTAAATTGATAGTTATTTTTACTTTGATGCTTCTTGAGTATATATTGAGTAAATCTTTTCATTTACTGATAAATTCATTTTGATACTTGCATGAATACAAATGAGAGCAACTTCTATTTTCATAAGCTGCTCCTGGACAGTGTCCACCACCAAGTAATGCACCAGGATATCCACCTAGTAAGATACTTTTTTACATGTACTATAAGCAATCTGATTTTGTATTTAACATGTATATTAATAAGACATTATTATCAAGGATCCTTTAAAGCAGGGGTGCCCAGCCTTTTTTTGTTCTTCAAAATCACATCCTACATGGATCAGCAAAAGTCTGACCAGGAATATGTCCAATTGGACACCAAAACATGACGAATCATATTCAAATTTAGGCATAACAAGTTTTTGACTACATATCTTTGAAATCCAGTCAGATATATACATTTTCAGTTATTTACATTGTATACATAGTACATAGACATGCATTTAGGTATCAAGTTTTCCAGTACAGCTAGACATATTTTTACATTAACTTTCTATTATGAATATAATACATGCACTTAGGTATCAATTAAAATATATTTTCTTTTCTTAGCATATCCTCATTAGTAAAAGAAGACAGTGGTACAACATGGTGCTTATACAGACTATTTATGAAGATAAACCACCATTATTTATAACCTCAATATCTAGAATGAGAATCATCGGCTGCCAATGAATTTTCTATTAAATCAATGTTATAGATTAGAGTGAAGTATTATTATTTGATCGAAATTTATTTTTGTTAGATTAGATAGCGTACACCGCACATGTATATCTGCACAAAGAACAAAATTAAAGCTTTATCGATTTGATCAAATAGTATATTCTTGTTAAATTGTTCAAGCAAAATGAATGTACATGTATTATCACCTCATTGCTCTGTGTATTGTTAAAGATTTGCCGATTAGTATACATTGTACACTATTGAAAAAGGCTAAAATATTAAATTATATGACTCAGTTTAATGCCAGTAAGGAATCCTTGCCAAATTGATTAACTACCTACTATTATACTGTAAAACATGAAATTATTGCTTGTTTGAAATTAATGCCCAATGTTTGAATGGCCGGGGATCTTGTTTCAATCAATTTGTCCATCAATTTACATGTCATGAAAAAATTAGAATTTCAAAGAATTCTACCATAAAATATAATAAATACAGTTTTTATGTGTAAAAAGACTAAAAAGTATATAAAAAGTGGGATAAGGCTAAAAAGTGTCCATCTCAAGTAAATACGTCAAGAATTGGCCACCTGGCAAAATTTTGAAATGAAATTCCTGCAACACACAGGTCCTCATATAGAACATTATAGCTTATAGCTACCGAAAAGCAAAGTGGTGATTTATATTTGAATTTAGCAGAAGAAAGCCCCTGGGCAAAGTTGACATGATGCATTTTTATTCTCCATGGTTAGCTCATAAAAAATTCATGTTTTACAGAATTTCCTTACATTTTACATTAATTATACATGACCTTAATTGTTGTTTCTGTTTAATTTATTGTTTTAACAAATCAGGTTTCTAATGTTATTTGAGCAGATTGTTGAGTTACTTTTTCTTAACCAAAAGATTAATAGATTAACCCGTTATGTAATTTTTATGCAATAACTAGCAAATTGTTTGATTAAAGTAGCTAAGTCTCTAACTCAATATCATCAAAAATCTTACTCATTGAAAACACGAATTATTTGTCATTTCAAATCAACATTGATGTTGTAATCTTACCGGGAAAGGGTAGGCTTCTGATATCCAATATTCAAGACAAAATAAACATTTTACCATTGGTACACTAATCGTGTACCATAATGCATATCAGCGCCATTTGGAACAAGGGACTCAAAGAACAGGGCTAGACATATTCCACAAGTCATGTCAAATGGTGACGCTTTATTTTTATCTGGAGAGCATGCGCAATAAATACCATCGGTGTAGACTTGAAAAACCAGACGCTAAAGATTGCCATTCACATGAGACTTGTGGCGTATTTCGCCGAACATAACTGATTAGAAATTACAGTAAAAATAGAAACGATTGAATGTAAATCAGTTTATATACATTCATATTACATTATTATATGCGTTGCTACCCATTTTTGTCAATTTCTAGGTCCCAAATATTAGCGATTTAGCTCCTTTAACATGAACAATAACTGCCTATGTTTGATTATTGAGTTATAACTTGGCCAATATGCATACAAATTTATCCCAGTAAATTTAGCATGTTTGGATATAAAATTCACATCTCCCTGTCTGTTCTTGATTTATAATACACATTCATAGACAGTAGTATAACACAGGTCTCATACATTTACCAGCTAGGTAATATCATTTTCTTGTCCCAACTACAAGATTAGTTGAATAACATGTAGTGTCATTTTAATACAATAAATTACTAACTTAGTCTGAACATCACACTTGGATGTACAGAGATATGGCTGTAGATAATATTGTTCTTTTCCTAACCAAAAGATTAGATGAATAACATGTCATGTAATTTTAATGCAATAAACTAGCCAGCATAATCTGAACAGTCACATTTGTTTGTACAGGCAAACAGCCTTTATCTGTACTGACGAAGACTTGTGTGGTGTGGGTTATAAATGGGAATTCTTTATACGTCTGCTAAATTTGACCTTTGTTAATATATATTAAGTATATTTAGGCATACATTATATAAGTCTTTCAATCATGATAAATATATTCTATAAATGATCTTTTCTATTGTTAAATTTTTCTTATTGAATAAATTTTGCCTCTATATTTTATGAAATTGTTTTTTGTGATTACTTTGCCAAATTAGTTACAATCTGGTTAAAACACAGATCCTATTTCGTTTCGTATTTATAGTTCAAAATTTCGTTTTACTTGTCTTTACTACACTTGGATCTGGAAGACTTGTTATTTAACTCGTGTTCTGCTTGAATTGAGGGGTCAGCCAATCAAATGGTCTGTCGAATCGAGTGTTTGACCTTTTTTGCCCGGAACTGTGGGTAATCCACTAGTAACATCAATGCTGATTGGTCAATCAAATGTCTGACGTCATAGGTCAAAAGTCGGTCTTTTGACCCTTGATGTGACCTATCGCTATAACTTGTCAGATCTTCATGTAGTGTAGGCCATCGAAAGTATAAAAAACCGAAACGAAATATAGATCTGTATTTTAATCAGATTGAATTAGTTACATTATATTAAGAATTCTAGTCACTGGAATTTGAAGTGAAGGGGTTATACCAACAAAACAGAAGGGTTGATTATTATGTCACGTGAAATACATTATATTAAGAATTTTAGGGGAAATGTGGGTGAGAGTTTAGTCAAACAAATCAGAAGGTTTGATACTATGGCATGGCAATTACACTACATTGAGGATTTGAGGGAATTTGAGGTGATGGGTTAGTCCAACAAAACAGAAGGGTTGAGATAATAGATTCCTTTGACATGAATCAAAAGAGTCATGTCAGACAGTCTAAAATTATACACAGAGGATTTCCTTGAAGGGCATTTAAATGTTTATGTGAAGTTAGGAATAGAATGTTTGTTTTGTATTATACTGAAAGCTGTAGAGGAAATGATGCTGCATGTAATTATGATTTATCTTTGTATTCTATTATAAATACTTGTAGTGCTAGAATCTTTTTTGTTACAAAGTTCTTTTTGTTATTTGCAATTATTCAATTGTGTTAAATGTCATTGATGTGACTAAATTATGAAAAACAAAAATTTAGGATGATCCAAAGTATGGTAATTATGAAATTTCAAAATTGTTACGAGACAACGTTATTTAGGATATTACTTAGAGAGATTGTGTCACTTAAAGATGCATTATGTTCGCGGTAGATCTGCCTATTGCATGCTTTTTTTTTTTAACTTCAAATGTGATAAAAATTATTATTTAGACATTTATTAATATGACAAGACTATAACCAAATCTCTCTTTATCATTGGATGGCTTAGATATTGAACGGCCTCGCTATTTAATAACTTAATGGTCAAATGGATGATCGAGACTTTGTTTATTATCACAGCAAATGGTACTTGACAATCGAGACTGCCTTGCGAAAATTCAAACACCGGAAAATTCACTCAGAATAAAGTAATTTGACTGGAATTTTCAATATATTCATTTCTCATCTTCTTTTTGGAAATTAATTTAATCCTAAAACTTTTAACACTGAGAATGCTTTTAACTGTCAGTATTGTTGAGTAATTGCTGTTTTCCTTTTCCCCATATTTCTTAATTATTTATTTTTAGTTCCTACTTATTAATGTTATTTTTGTATGGCTACATTTCATTCTTGTCCAGTCGTCCACAATTCTTGTAAACAGGCTACAATTTTTTCATTAGATTTAAAAGATATAAATTTCTTTGATTTAGGTCAAAAAGAGTATTGAATATGGTTGATTAAACGTGCTTATTTGATTACTGATGGGACCATATCATTATGATTAAATTTTTAATTTCGAAAGATTGAACGGAAGTTGGTTTGTTTATTTATTTGTGGCCTAAAAAAGAGACAGTGGATATGCAAGATCATATTTATATCAAAATTGACTTTTTGTAAATTTTTCAATTAAAAAAGATTGACATTTTTATATTTGACACAAACCAAATATGTGGTCTACTCATTTTAAAACCAGCAGAAAAGTTGTAATCATTTGGCTAGTCATAAGAATTCCTGTGATGAATTGTCCTAGTTGAAAATCATACATCAGTTTTTCACATGGTTACTGCTCTGCCTCTGAAACCATTTTTTGAGATTAGTTATTGCCTGTGTGTTCAAGATCAAGACATTTTGTGAATGTTTGGGGTGGACATATTATTCTTTGCTTGCCAGTGCTATGTTTTGTTGTTATTTTCCCGTTAGTTTGCATTAGCCTCGAGAAACACAATTGTGACCATTGATTCATTCAAAGCCTTCTTTGGTATATAGTGTTAAAATAGATAAGACAATGACTTGCCTTGTTATATTATGGTAAGCATTAGTGCATGTTCAATAATTTAGTAATACTTCAAATTAAAAATATATTCATCTTGCACACAAAATATCAAATTCTTGTCAATCAATTCTTGTAGATTGTCAAGAAAAGTTATAAGGAGAAACTGTAAAGAAATTCAGGGTTTCCCCGTAAGGCTTTTCCAGTGTGTTTCCCAAGGCATTGAAACATTTTCTTTTAAATTTTAAAACAATTTTTTTTTTATTTGGCTATGGTAGTCATTAGTCCGAAGTCTAAACTCTATAGTAATTAAATTTATTCCTTGTCATTGAATATTTGTGTAAACTCCATGTGTCAGATATTTTTCGATGTTTCGTTGAAACTTGCATGAATTATCCAGGTGCCAATGACAATAAACCATATTATATAGAGTTTTTAATAGTTTTTGCTTCTGCCATTGCATATTCAATGTTGATTTATTAGAAAACTCTAAAAGTGCAAAATATACAATATACAGTGTGTTTCCCAAGGCATTGAAACATTTTCTTTTAAATTTTAAAACAATTTTTTTTTTATTTGGCTATGGTAGTCATTAGTCCGAAGTCTAAACTCTATAGTAATTAAAGTTATTCCTTGTCATTGAAAATTTGTGTAAACTCCATGTGTCAGATATTTTTCGATGTTTCGTTGAAACTTGCATGAATTATCCAGGTGCCAATGACAATAAACCATATTATATAGAGTTTTTAATAGTTTTTGCTTCTGCCATTGCATATTCAATGTTGATTTATTAGAAAACTCTAAAAGTGCAAAATATACAAAATACAGTGTGTTTCCCAAGGCATTGAAACATTTTCTTTTAAATTTTAAAACAATTTTTTTTTTATTTGGCTATGGTAGTCATTAGTCCGAAGTCTAAACTCTATAGTAATTAAAGTTATTCCTTGTCATTGAAAATTTGTGTAAACTCCATGTGTCAGATATTTTTCGATGTTTCGTTGAAACTTGCATGAATTATCCAGGTGCCAATGACAATAAACCATATTATATAGAGTTTTTAATAGTTTTTGCTTCTGCCATTGCATATTCAATGTTGATTTATTAGAAAACTCTAAAAGTGCAAAATATACAATGTAAAAACATTAATCTTGACGCATTTTAAAATATGACTTCCTCAAAACGTACATGCAAAAATTAATATACAAATTTTATCTGTTTTCTATACTAGATGGTTTTGAATCGGAGGACGAATCTTCATATGAAGAAGAAATTAGTGCAGAGAGCTCTGAAAATGACACAGCCCAAGCAGAGGAGGAAGCTCCTGAAGAAGATGGCTCATCCTCTGAAGAGGAAGAAGAACCAGAACCTGAGGAAGAACCAGAGCCGGAGGAAGAGGAAGAAGAACCAGAACCTGAGGAAGAAGAAGAACCTGAACCTGAGGAAGAAGAACCAGAACCAGAGCCTGAGGAAGAAGAAGAACCAGAGCCAGAGGAAAAAGAACAGGAAGAAGAAGAAGAAGCCCCAGAGGAATTGACAGAAGAACTTGAGGAAGCAGAAGAAGCACCAGAACTAGAGGAACAGGCTCGAGAGCAGGAGGAAGAAGCTCAGGAAGAGGAAGAAGACAGTAGTTCATCATCATCATCATCATCGTCTTCTTCTTCTTCTGAAGATGGGTCAGAACATGAGGAAGATAAAGGACTTGTTGGTATGTGCACATTTCATTATTACATTTCAGTTAATTTTTCAGTAGTATGGCATGTGACTCTGTTAGTAATTTTAGTTTAGAAGTATTTCTTGGAAGTTATTTCCCTTGAACAGACGTTTATTTACTGTCGACTTTCTCATTATAAAAAGGTCGGAGTGGAAGAGATTGCCTGCCGCCAAGGTAAAAAAAAAGGAAAGTCTGACTGTCTGTAGTCTTCCAGAAATGATCAAAATAGTGTGGCCTATCCACGTCGGATGTCAATGTCTAATCACACCATCAACTGCAAACCATTAGCACTGCATCAGATCACCAAACCAAACGAATTGTGACCGTGAATATGCATGCTGATGGTGGTGTTCTAGTAGGGGACGTGTGGTGGAAATATGTTTTAGGGCAATGTATGTTGTTATTTACCAGAAATCAGTCAGGATTTGAAGAATGATTTATAATGAATTAGATGTATCAAGTACATAGCAGAAAAATGAATTGTGATTTGTAGAAAAATCCATAATGAATTAGAAGGGCCTATTATCAAGTGCATTAGGCGAAGGGGAATCACGATATATATTGATTCAATGATATACTTTATATAGGTGGTTTATTAAAGAATACTGATGCTCATATTTTTTTTGTTTATCTCGGCTAATCCCCTGTCCCTTAGTAAATATGGAAACTTTTATACAACAACATTTTAATGTGGTCGTATATTGCTGTCAACCCAGTTTATCTAATGTTGTTCATATTTTCTTGATAGCAAACTAAAGACTACAGTTATCCAATATATAGATATATATGGGTTGTCCTCAGTGAAAAGAAACTTTGGCAGGGGCAGGGTTTGGATGGCCGAATGGTAAGCGCGAGTGCATGCTGTATCATAAGGTCTGTCATTGAGTCAACTGGTGTGGTTTCGATTCCCCGCTTGTACGTGACAAGGAGTAGGGTCACCTGTCCAAACTTGTGGGTTTTCTCCGGGTCCTCCTGTTTCCTCCCACTGCTAAAAACCCCTATGTGCAAGAAAATTATTGAAATAAAATTGAACCATGTTAGTCCTGAAAGGACCTAGTTTGTGTCCAGTGGACAACCTCTCTCTCTCTCTCTCTCTCTCTCTCTCTTACAAATACCAGGTACATTAAGACTTATGTTATTTTGATGGATCAGATGACCTAATATTTAAGCCTACCTGGCTATTAGAAATACTGTAAAATTTATGTCAAATGGACGTTAAAACCCATTTTCTCTCTCTCTCTCTCTTTCTATATTGTCTTGCCTCTCCCTCTTTGTCCGGAAGTCTGTCCTTCCGTTCACAGTTTGTGGACACTCTACAGATCACAATTTTTATCCGATTTTGATGAAACTTGAAATATAGGTTTATCCCCAAAGATTTCTATTCCAGTCGATATTGGCATGTATCGGTGTGTAACTTCATGGATTATGGGCCCTGATTGTACGAAAAATCATGTTTTTACGTTGTGGGCACTCTATAGGCCACAATCTGTATTTGATTTTGATGAAAATCAAAATGCATGTTTATAACTCACACATCTCGGCTCCTTTCGATATCAGACTGTAAATTTCAGGATTATGACCCCTGATGGTATGCAATTTTGATGAAACTTTAAAAAACATATTCATTATCTATGGATGACATTTTCAGTGATCACCTCCAGAGTTATGTCTAAATTTTATAGGCTGCAATTATTCCCTTTTGTAATCAAAGCTTGTTAACAGCTTAGAGACTTCAATTATGATCTGTAGCCTCTAGAATGTTTGTAAACTGCTGGTGGGTACACTTTGAAATGACATTGATATTATTAAACATTATAGAACCTGTTCCTTTTAGTTAATGTGGAAATTAAATTCAAAAAGAAACACAAGAAACACAAAAAACCTAAAAAACCTCACAAAGAATACGTTGAAGTAGACTATGAAGAAGTTGAAGAAGACTATGAATACGATGATGATAAGCCCAAGAAGCCTAAGAAACCTCACGATGATACGAAGCCTCAGAAACCTCATAAGGAACCTAAAGGCAATTATGAAGAGCAACCATTTGATGATACGAAGCCTCAGAAACCTCATAAGGAACCTAAAGGCCATTATGAAGAGCAACCTTTGGTTCCAGTAGAACAAATGGAACAAGTAATGTTAGTGGCAGAGCGCTTCCAACCGACTGTAAGGCCTTTTCCCGACTTCTCTGCTGAAGCAGATGTTACAGTTCTAAGAGAATGTATGAAAGGAACAGGTAGGAATTATATATTAGCTAAAGCCGATAGTACCTATTTCCTTCCCAATCAATGACAATGTGTATTATATTTTTCTCTTTAGCACGTGAGCTGCAGAGGTTCAGTGAGTAAGACACAGGCTCGTTAAGGGGTAGGTCATGGGGTCAGTCCTGGTGTTGGTTGATAAAGTTCCTGGGGTTTTCCGATTGGGTTCACCTTAAGTCAGTGGTGTAGGAGGAAGTCCCTGGCAAGGAACAGCATCTAGCCATTTGGATGGGACAAAAAACAGGTCCTGTTACCTGTGTACACATATCTGTGCATTTAAAAGAGCCATGAGCCTTTTACAGAATTTGAAACAGAAGTAGGATGTTGAACCCCATTCTGCAAGAATTAGATTGAGATCTGAAAGAAACTGGTGTCATCTGTGATACAGTTTATGGTTGCTTGTTTCATTGTGACATAAGAGCACTGAAATAACATCTCTTTTTTTGTGGCTAATCCTGATGAATACATTTGGTTAGTACTATATTTTTTGGTGTTTGATATTTTTATAGGAACTGATGAAGACAGGATAATAAATCTGATCAGTCATAGATCCAATTCTCAACGTCAAGAGATTGAAAAATTCTTTAAGACCATGTGTGGCAAGGTCAGTAATTATTAATGAAGATAGTTCAACAATAACTAGCGCTCTTAGGAATTCTCGTGCAGTTTATTCGACCAGAGTGGTTAAGTGATCCAGTGGTCTAGATAGTGTGCTTTAGAACCAAAGGTCATCATAGATTTTATCCTAAGCTTTTATATGACAAGGAGGAGAGTCAGTGGTTTCCTCCCACTGCCAACAACCACTATGTGTAAGCAAATATTGAAATCAAATTCTACCATGTTAGTCCAGAAATGACCTGGTTTGTGTGGAGATTAAACCCCCATTTCTCTCTCTTTTATTCATCCTTAGTTGCTGTGATTTCTATACACTACAGTCCAGAAATGGCCACTGGTTTGTATGGAGTGAGCGGAGGTTTAACCTCCCTCTCTCTCTCTCTCTCTCTCTCTCTCTCAGTCTGTTGATATGTTTTATTTTCAATTTTAGGATTTGATAGAAGATTTAAAAAGTGAATTGGGTGGAGAATTACGTGAGGCTGTAATGGCTTTGTTTAAATCACCAGCTTATTATGATGCATGGTCTTTACATAAAGCACTAGAGGTAAAACTCTTTTTCGTGTATTTATTGAAGCTGTGTTAGGTAACGAGTGGTCAATAATTGACTCAGGTGGCATGTTTTCGATCCCAATCTGGTACATTACAACGAGTAGTGTAGCTTGCCCCACATCTAGGCATTTCTCTAGGTCCTCTGGTTCCTTCCTATTGCTAAAGACCCTGATGTGTAAGCCAATTATTGAAATAAAAATATTATCTTTTTTGAATTACGAAACAAAAATAACGGGAAAGAACAAAAACATTTACCAACAGTGGATTAAAATTGTTGATATTGATGTTTATGTAGGGTGCAGGAACTAAAGATGCTGTATTAATAGAAATACTGTGTACCAGAAATAATGAGGAGATAAATCTTATTAAGGAATCTTATTTAAAGAGTAAGTACTTTTATCCATACTAACAGCCAAAGGAATATGTATCCAGACTTCGAAATTCAAAGGGGTTTAACATCCTACTTTTATGCACTGACTGGGCTAATGAAGATGGGTGTAAGCCATACAGTGTGTTATGAGCTAAATTTGGCCTGGACAGTGGCACCATGGCTACTATATCAAATTCCAACTGTCAAAGGTTAGACATTGTCCTTGCCAGGCACTCTGTCTTCCACCACTGACAAGGGGAAACCATACTGGAAAATCCTGAAGAACTTTTTCGACCAACATCAGGATGGAACCCCAGACATTCTGGTTAGTGAGGCAGCACCTTACTCACCGAGCCAGCGCGACCCCTACCATCTGGAATAAAAATCTTGTAGGGTTGATTACATGAATGTAGAAGATATATATTGGAACAAGTTTTTAGTTGTTAGTCACATTTGTTGTATTTAGTGATCATTGTTTCAATTCCGTTGTCCAAGTTGTTTACCAGTAAAGAGGAACCCTATTGAAATTCATAAAAAAAAATTCTATTGTTATCCCCTTTGTCTCTGTAACTTGACTATGAATGCTCTACAGACCATTGTTTTATTTTGAAATTGCAATTTAAAAGTTATCACCCTATGTACATTCAAACTTATTTAAACTTTTTAACATGATACAAGATGCGGCCTTTGATGGCATGTTTTAAAACCTGGTGGGTTTTATTTCCATTATTAAAGCTTGTAAATGGGTTACAGGGCAAGGCTCTAAAACTACATATCAAAATCAAAAGATCCATGGTTTATAGGAAGTGTTTGTTAATATTAACGTCTGCTTCAAAGTTATATGGCAGACAATATTAATATATTATCGTTGAATGAAATTTAGATGTAGAGGTATAACACTCTTGATAAAGATGCTGTAAGAGGATTGAAACATTGAATTAGAAGTAGTAGATCCATAAAGTTAATAATTTAAAGGAGCTAAATCGCTAACATTTGGGACCTAGAAATTGACAAAAGTGGGTAGCAACGCATATAATACTGTAATATGAATGTATATAAACTGATTTACATTCAATGGTTTCCCTTTTTACTCCAATTTCAAATCAGTTATGTTTGGCGAAATAAGCCAGCAGTCTCAAGCAAGTGCAAATTTCTAGCGTCTGGTTATTCCAGTCTACATACGCCGTTTGATTTGGTGCAATGTGTCTAGCCTCGTCCCTCGAGTCTCTTGATACAACTGGGGCTGAAGCGCATTATGGTACACGATGCGTGTACCAATGGTAAAATGTTTATTTTGTCTTAAATATTGGATATCAAAAGCCCATCTTTTTCCAGTAAGATCACAACATGAATGTTGATTTAATTTGACAAATAAATTGTGTTTTCAATGTTGAAGATTTTGGATGATATTGAGTTAGAGACTTAGCTACTTTAATATAGTATGTCTTCATGTCTTTTATTCCAGATTATGGTAAAACTTTAGAAGATGATATTAAATCTGATACTAGTGGCTATTTTAAAAGACTCCTTGTATCATGTTGTCAGGTTGGTTTGTTTTATTTATATCAGTGCAAGTCTGGTAGGGAATGTGGAGTGAACTTGTTTAAAATGAAATGAAAACAAGGTTTAACATCCTACTTTTCTGCACGAACTATGCTGATGAAGATGGGCCGATTCCATACAGTGTTCTATGATGCAAATATTGCTCTCAAAGCAACTGCTACAGTTTAATCTTTTTACGAATTCCAACTGTCAGTGGCTCTGTTATGTGCACCCGAAAGACTAGGCACCGTTCCTTGCCAGTCCCTCAGTTCTGCACCACTGACAAGGGAAATTACGACCAACTTTCTCAGCCAATACCACGATTGAACCCGAGATAAGCAACACCAAGATTGTTTAAGACAAGCAGAAGGGCTAAAGATCAAACAGCCATGTTTCATTTCACTCCATCCCAGAATTCCTTCTAGACTTTTATTAATAAAGGGAAGTAAATCATTTTAGTACAAAGAACTCAAAAAGACTTCAGACCACTATTTCTTAATAATATGAATAAGTTGAAAAACACAACACAGTTTATATGGAAATACAATCACTGGTTTATAAGTATAGCACGACGTTTCGACAAGTATGTACGAAATAATATTTATTAACATACGTGTAAATATTGCATAATAGCATAATATAAATGGTTCATTCTCACCCAGCTCAAAACTTAAATAATCATGTTAGCGTGACTAAGGTGTTAATTGGAATTTCTAAAGAAGGATTAGCTGTAGTCTGTTTCACATTGGGCACTGTTTATTTCATTAGGTTAAACCTAAAAGTAAAACAAAATCACTTGATAATGTTTTATTCAACATTTATTATAGTAAAACATGTTTATTTTAACACTTTCAATGTAAATGGAAAAACTTAATATAAAAAATAAATAACTAAATAGCACTATGAAATGAGCATCAACATTAAAAATATATATTTCATATGGGCAAGTAAACATTTCATACTTTTTACTCTAAATGGACAAGATGAGATACCGCATCTACATAAAGCATGATGTCTCTTTGACCATTTCGGAACTGATCTTTCAATGCTTGAAGTCTCTCTTCTAGTTCAAACACAGTTCACAAGGACAAGGACAAATGATATTTAGTTAAACTAAAAGGTGATATTTATAGTAAAACAAAAAAGAAGCCATAGATAAATGCTGTTATAATACAAGATAATAGTTAAATTGATCAAAGGATAATTAAAACTTAAATATAGTTAATTGATGGGGGTTAACAGTGACCAGGGAGCAACAAAGCCATATATTTGATATAGACAAAATAAACACAATTTGAAGCCCTATTAATAAGAAATTTATAATAATGTATAAATTGATCAAAGGATAATTAAAACTTAAATATTAGTTAATTGATAGGGGTTAACAATCATCAGTGGTTAACAATAGTCAGGGAGCAACAGAGCCATAAATTTGATATAGACAAAATAAACAATTTGAAGCCCTATAAGTAAGAAATGTATAATAATGGATGTATACAGTATAACCCCTTAATTTGGTAATTACAAAATATGGTTTATATAACAGTTATTATACTTCTCTAGGCTAATTAAGGGGGAGAGGGGGGGGAGAGCAGTATGATTGAAGTTAGGTTTTATAATATGTAGAAATGGCCAAAAAGGAACAACAAAAGAAGAAAACAATGTGATTAAAATTAGGTTATATAATAACTAGAAATGTCCAAAAGAAACAAATAGGAAAACTATGGGCCAATAGACAATTATTTCTCCATCTTAATTAGTTCATCATAGGCCTTTGGTATATATAACCCTGTGTCTCTATTCAGTTCTGGGCTGTGGCGTTTGATTTGGATGGCTTCTATGATTTTCCTGTTTTTCTTTTGGTGTTTATGTATGGCTACGGTTTGGACATTCTTCCAGTCTGGTTCGTGGCCCTGGTTCTTGCTTATATGTTCTGCGTATATGCCAATAGATTTAGAAGAGATGTTTTTTTTTAAGACAGTACTTTGTAAATATAGGCTAACAGAAATGAGTTGACTGAAGAGCAGATAGAGTGTTTGTTAGCAAATGGTCCAGAATCTATAATAGATAGAGATTTGGCTATCCAAGATGCTAAAAAACTTTATGCTGCTGGTGAGAAGAAATTTGGAACTGATGAATCAGCATTTATTCAAGTCCTGGCATTGAGAAATGTCTTTCAACTCGATGCTATGCAGTATGAGTATGAACAGGTAATATGTTTGGATTGGATTCAATATTTATTTTATGGAAGAAAATGTAATTACTACCCAAATACCAAGTATCTGTGATCATGCTGGGTTCCACTTGTTTTCGGTCAGATTTTCATTTTAATTATATACCCATATTTTTTAATTTTGACCAATATGTTTTGTTATTTTTTTTTAACCTTTATTTTCTTTTTAATCACAAAATAGTTATATAATATACACATAATATAATAATTACAAAATTCTTCGTCTATTTTTGCATATGCCTAACTACAGGCAAAAAAAGAAACGCTGCATCTAAATTTAATCACCAAAATTGAATTTATATCGCTATTGGCAAAATGACAATCAACAACATGAGCACTGCAAAGTGTGTTGATTCCCTGCAAATAGAATAGGAAGGAATACCTTGAAATTAAGAGTTATTTTATTTATTGATACTTATCAGCAAAGACTTTATAACATAATGTATATTGTCATTATGTAAGCCTATTTTATTTAGCAACAATTATATAACGAGAGTTGTAATAGAATGAATGATATAATAGGGATGTGTGGTTGAATGTTTCGGAATTGAGTTTTCTTAATCCTATGACAAGTATGAACAATGATAATCAATCTGCAACCAGATTCTTTGGGACTAACTAAACTGTGATTTTTAGTCGGTGAAGGAACTGAATTCCATGTCACTCACTTGATTGCAATTCTTTGAATAAACAATGTTCTAGACTCACAGTCAAGCATCCCTACACATATAAGTTATTGTTTTGTAGCTTGCTGGAAAGGATTTGCTAAAGTCAATTGACAGTGAAATGTCTGGTGATATAGCTCGAGGTCTAAAGGCTATTGGTGAGTTATAATAGATTAGCAATATCAATCAAAATATCTGCTTAAATTCAATTTTTGTCATGATCGGCCTACGCTTAAAGCAACTGATTGTAATTTGAGCTGTTTTGAATCTCTTGCAAACTACAATATTGTGAAAGTTCAATTTGTAAAAGTAATATCAGTAAACTAATTCTACAAAGACAGGATGAATTAAAATTTTTACAACATTCTGCATATGATATAAACAAGCCATTGTCACCTATCAATGTTGGGTAAAAATCTTTTGATATACATGTACCTCTTTTTAACCTAATTCAATCCAAGCCAGGCGAGCAGTTCTTGGCAGACAAAGTTCCTAAACTTTTCCAGCATGGTTTCCCTGTTCTGGCAGGGAACAGCGATTAGTCGTTCGTATTGGATGATATACCAAGGTCCTGTGTACACGTTGGCATGCACATAAAAGGACCCTTGATAGTTGAAATTTATTTGCTGTCCAGGCAAAATTTCTGGTGCAGAAAAGTATGATGTTAACCACATTTCATTCATTCATTACCATTCTCTCTTCCAGCGCTATATGCAAGAAGTAGCCTCACGTATTTTGCGAATATTTTACATAAAGCTATGAGTGGTGCTGGTACAAGTGATTCAACATTAATCAGAGTAATAGTGTCGAGATCTGAGGTATAGTAATTAAATACTTATTTAAAACCTTTTACATAGTAGATAGCAACCGCTTGCCTGGTCTCTATCTGAATTACACATGGACACAAACTATGAAGATTATTGTTAGGTATTGGTGCACTTGTAAGTTATAGTTATCCAATATGAACCAATACACCATGTGAAATTCAAAACATTTGGTTAAAGAACACATCAGATACTTTATTTGGACCAGAATCAAAGAGTTTGCTATTTTGCTTTTGCGAATTCATTATCAAAGGCTTTCCCTGTAAAATGTATCTTAACTGACCTCATACAGTCATGCTCTTCTTGTAGGGAGCCACAATGATTCAGTAAGGTTCTGGCTCCCTAACCAGTTTAATCCTAGTGTTGGCTGAGAAAGTTTTCTAGGTTTTTCCAGTGTGGTTTCCCCTTGTCAGTGTTGCTGGACGGAGGGCATGGCAAGGACAGTGTCTAGTCATTTGGATGGGACAGAAAACAAGTCGCATGTAAAGATTGGTGTGGACGGGAAAAAACCCTTGACAGTTGGAATTCGATATACGAGTAGGGCGTAGCACCGCTGTCCATGTAAATTTCCATCATAGCACATTGTATGTCGTATTCTCATCTTCATTAGCACAGTCAGTGCAGAAAAGTATGACGTTAAACCCCATTTTATAACATTTCAATTGCTCTTCTTGTAATATACCACATATTTATCTGGATAAGCAGATATTAATTGTATATTTTTGTTATTTATTTGATTACAGTATGATCTTGGAGATATAAAAAGAGAGTATGAAAACTTATATGGTAAACCATTGTCGGAGGCCATTAAATCCGATACCAGTGGTGATTACAGAAAGCTTCTACTTGCCTTGATCAATTAGTAAAAATTTAGAAATTTTTGAACCATGAACTGAGCCCCAAGCCCTTCTCTTGTTCTTCTTTTTAGGGCAGACGTTCTTTGATAAAAAAAAAAAAGCCTAAGGCTCTGCCAATTCAAATACGATTGACACGAACTTGGCATGTTTGTTCCTTGGACAATTGTGCATTAATTTTTGATGACGTCGCAATAATAAAGATGGCTGTGAAGACGTCATGCTTTGTTTCTGGTCCACGGTACGTCGGTCCATGTTATGTTACTGTTTAACAGGTTAATATTGAGTATTTACTATTTAAAATAGTATCTTGTATATAATTGTACACATTAAAAACATCAAAACTATTCTATGGATAGCAATTACTGTATTTTAATCGGAGTATAATACTGATAGTCAGAAATATATACCTATTACTTTCAGGATTCATAAGGTTTTTACTAATTAAAATTTAATGAAGTGGTTACTTCTGTTAAAATTAACTTTAAGTATATATATTATTGTTAGCCTTAAGAGTACATAATCATTATAATAATTATGAATTTAATCAATCTGGTTAAAACACAGATCCTATTTCGTTTCGTTTTTATAGTTCAAAATTTCGTTTTACTTGTCTTTACTACACTTGGATCTGGAAGAGTTGTTATTAAACACGTTTTCTGAATGGTGTCAGGGATAAGCCAATAAAATGATCTGTTACGGTGAGCTTTAGGCGTGTTTTTCACGGAACTGTTGGTAATCCACTAGTAACATCAATGCTGATTGGTTAATCAAATGTCTGACGTCATAGGGTGATAAGTCGGACTTTTGACCCCTGACGTGACCTATAGCTATAACTTGTCAGATCTTCATGTAGTGTAGGCCATCGAAAGTATAAAAAAACGAAACAAAATATAGATCTGTATTTTAATCAGATTGGAATTTAATCAAATGGTTAAACTCCTTAATTAAGTGGATTCCCTAATGTTTTGATTTTACATACATTTTGTTCTTTCTGACTATATCAGTATTATGCTTGAAAACAAGAAGTTTGCAGCTCCGATCAAAATACTAAAAAATAGATATTTTGTTACATATTATCTTTAAATTTTTCTAATATTGTTTAACAATTTAATATTGAGCGTTAATATTTTTCTAGATTTTGTAAGCAAATATCTATATTGGGCATTCTATTGTTAGAAATATTTATCATATTTTCTTTTCTACAAGAGCAGGTACCAATCTCTATTTTTTAATATTTATAGGCTGTGCATTTTTTTTTTACACAAGAAAGGGTATATATGGTTTTTTGTATGTTATATTAGTATTTTCTTTTCTACAATTTATATTTTGTATTAGTATTTTCTTTGCTACAAGAACGAGTGAAATACTGCAATCTATATTTTATTCTGCAGTAGGTGTATATACATGTACTTGCCATTCTGAGATTTACAATGCAACATAAGCATTTTATACACTTATTTTTAAACAGGCATATTATATGGTAGAGTGTTGCCCATTCATCCTGTAAACTTCTCCATCTTCATTTGTTCAGTTCATGCAGAAATGGAGGATGTTAAACCCCAATTGTTGTGAGCTTGTGAAATCAGTTAGCCCTGCTCTCCATGTAAGCATTTCCTTTGGCGAAACAGTTGTTTTAATGCAAATTTAATCGCTCTGATTCCATGTCAACATTTGCGCAAGCAGAGAAATAGTTACCCCGATGAGCAACCATTTTTTCACGTCTACTATGCACCCGATGCCCAACCGGATGTTAATGTTCAACTTCTAAGTCAGTCATTGCGATTGGCTCTTGTTGCTGCATGTTCAGCTTGAAAATGATAGATTTGTTAATGTTATTTCAAAACGGTCGTGATTAAAGGAAAACAATGTCAGCCTCCTTGCTGTAGAGAGAATCCTTCTTTTGTATTTTATAAAGTCTTGAACTAGAAGTAGTAAATTCTAAAATTGTGACTTATATTTAAAAAAACTGTTTTCCCTATTTTGAGGTTGTCTCCTATTTTGCATTTCAATAATTTTTAATTTAATAAATATTTCATCTGTTAATTTGAGAGTAATGAATTTGTGAAATGAATAAATCAATACAGTTTTTTTTTTGTGGATTTTGATTGCTAATGATGTGCACTACCTATTTTTGGACAGTTTCAATAGGTTATTCCTAACCGCAGTATTTTGGCTAATTTTTTTACTCGGACACTCTATAATCTGTATAAAAAAAAGCAAGCACAAGGAGTGTTTGGTAGCTTCATTGAGCAGGGGTCAAGGTTAGTGTTAGGTCATCAGTGTTTCAAAAGTATTTTCAGGGTAATTATAATTCATAAATACACTATTTACAAGGTAATCTTTATTCGTAAACACTGTGGTTATGAATAACTTTATTTGTAAACAACATTTATTGGGTTTTAAACCCGACTCAAAATTTAATATAGTTCTGAAGTTTCCTTGGATCATTTTGAAAGTTTTATTGTTGATACCTACATTATCTTTAATGTTTTTAATTTATTTATTAGGGTAATAAAAATGTGAAATGATGGTACATATTTCTATGCATCACCTTTTTTGACAAGGCAAAAGGGTACTAAGAATGTAATATTTGTAATATGATTTCTTTTAAAGGAGCTAAACCTCTAACTCAATATTATCTATAATCTTTAACATTTAAAAAATAAATTAGAATTTAATATTGGTCCATTTCAATCAATATTTATGTTGTTAATCTAACCATGAAAATGTGGGCTCCTGATATCCAGTTATTAAGAATCAGATATTTTAAAATCATTGAGTGACATCATTTTCTCTATGGTCTCAAGCATCATTAGTAATGAGGTACCTTGATGAACAAGACAAAACACATCCCACAAGTCAGTGCCTAAGTGAAATGTCAAACCATACTAATCAGGTATTTTTGGGAACATGATTAGAAATTATAATAAGACTGAATGTAAATTACATTAGTGTGTTTTTCGACCCATTTTGGGGTTCCAAAGAGTAGAGGATTAGCTCCTGTAATTTGTTGCTGTTATGTAATAGGAGAATTTTTATACAGATAATTACATATACTATACACATTTCACTTTTATTTCGAATAAACGTATATACATAAAGTTTTTATTGTATTTGTTTGGTTTTCTTATAGAAATCTGAATAGACACCACTGAAATAATTAACATTCCTATCAAATGATAGACAGTTTAATGTCCACTGGACACAAAACTAGGCCATTTTGTGACTTTCATATTGTTAAATTCATTTTTTTATATGTCAACGGTTTTTAAAATCGGATAAAAATTGTGACCTCTAAAGGTTCCACAAGCTAAAAACGCAATTTTTCTTATAATCAGGAGCCATATTCCATGAAGATATGCACGATTATCGAAAGGAACCGAGATCTATGGGATATAATTTATAAATATATGATCTAATTTCCATTAACATCGGATAAAGGTAGGTTGCCAGGCAACGAAACATATGCCCACAGCAGCTATATCGTCTGGGCAGTCAACAAGAGTTGTCGCATATTTTTACTTTTTTCGGTAATGAAACATTTATAATACATTAAAATCTGATTAAGAGTAACAACTCATTAAGTAATTATCAGAAAACCATTAGAATTTGTTTGGTTTTTATAAAGTTCTGCCCCATACGTTTAGTATACGAAACTTTTAACATGGAATTAGCTGTTCAGGTCATAAAGATTCATTGAAAATCAAAATACTTGTTTGTCTCAAGACCTTAAACACTGTGCAGCAATTTAAAGTCAATCGGATATTAACTTTAGCCTGTAGAGCGTCCACAAGATTTTTCAAAGTGATCAAGGGCCATAACTCTGGCAGTAATTATCGGAAATCGCTGAAAATCAATAGGCTTCTTCGTCTCATGACCTTAAACACTGTATATAAATTTAAAGTCAATCGGATATTAACTTTACCCTCTAGAGCGTCCACAAGATTTTTCAAAGTGATCAAGGGCCATAACTCTGGTAAAAATTATCGGAAATCGCTGAAAATCAATAGGCTTCTTCGTCTCATGACCTTAAACACTGTATATAAATTTAAAGTCAATTGGATATTAAGTTTAGCCTCTAGAGCGTCCACAAGCAATTGTGGGCGTATAAAAATTGTATCCTGTAGAGGATCCACAACATATCCAAAGAAACCGAAATCTTTGGGTGATAAACCTCTATTTCAAGTTTCATCAAAAACGGATTTAAACTGTGACCTGTTGAGTGTACACAAACAGATGGACAGGGGCGCCGACACTATATGTCCACATGAAAATTTGGCCGTATAAAAAGATGACCGACAGGGGTTAAAAAACCAACACAATTTTTGTTATACAGTATTTTTAGAAATATATTACTGTAGGTTAGACCAAACATCCATGAACTAATGAAACGATAATGATTTTCTTTTATCTTCTAAACACATAAAATAAAGCATATCGTAGGTGAAGTGTCAAAAGGGTGTATCTCGGGGGAAATTAGTCAAATACACTTTTTTGCATTTTTAAAATCTCCCAATTAATATGCACATTTCTTTCTAAGCTGTGTATCTCTATGCCAATTAGAACTATTCTGGGTATCATGTGTCCAAAAAATGTTGTATTTGTGGAAATTTTGAAATGCAAAAGGTTCTATTTCTTAATCTTTAGAAATTCTTAGATACACCCTTTTGACACTTCACCGACGATATTGTGTATGGATATAGGATACATGATTATAGTACATTGATGCAAGTGCTTTGTTTGTCTGATAATGTACTTGTTCAGATATAATGAGAAAGTTATATTAAGTCATACCCAGCTAATTTGTGTTAAAATATCAGTCATTAAATACTAGAAAACTTGTTTCATATACATTATATTATCACTCTTTATCCAATAAAATAAACAAACTAAATCACAATCAAGATATGTCTTAACATATTAATTTAGCACTAATGAACTGATGCCAAGAGACCATATTTAGCAGACATTTTGATAGAACACACACAACTCTCATTGATTTTGACAAAAATATCTTTGTGTATTGTTGTATAGCAATAAACTGAATGAAGCTCATTATTTACAAACACATTTTCTACTATGTAACACTGCCAGGCAACAACATGCTATGTGCTCTCTATGAAAAGGGTAAAGACAGGAATTTTACAGTACATGTATTTCTGATAGTCAGGTAGGCTTAAATATTAGGTCATCTGATCCATCAAAACAACTCAAGTCTGAGAGATTGTCCACTGGACACAAACTAGGTCATTTCAGGACTAACATGGTTTAATTTTTTTTCAATAATTCACTTGTGCATATAGGTTTTTCGCAGTGGGAGGAAACCCACGGCCGCAAGGTCCATACTCTCTGAGTCACCGTGGCTCCCCACTTTTAAGAGTAGTGCCCTACTAGACATGTGATCCTGCTCCTTTACAGACCTTGTATCTGGTTATATTTGCTTTACTGTATATATACTCTTCAAAAAAAAAGAAGGGGATATTCAGATGCAAATACCTATGCAGGTTGAGATATGATAAATAGTCATGGACACTTGGCATGCTTTGAGAGTATGTTCACAGATGAAGAACTTATCTCCCCAACAGAACCACTGAGCTGCACATGCACCACACAATAGTGCCATACACGTGGGAGGGGTTCATTGTAAAATTTGACACTTCAAGGAAGGGTTGATGAAAACTGCCGTGTGCCGGTTAATTCTATCCATGTTTGCTTTCCTATCGGTTCTTGCATCAGATTTACTGTTTAGTGTATCTTTGCTTTAGTGTGTTATGTTTAATTTGCAATGAGACGTCTTCAATATGATGAACGTCTACATGCTTCAAATGGGTTCTACACAGCGAGCAGTAGCCAACATGCTTAATGTGTCACAGTCTGTGATCAGCAAACCGGTACCAACAAACCCACAATGCTGATGACAGACCTCTTCAGGTCGTCCTAGAGCCACTACACAAGCCCGGGATCGATACATTCGTACAAGGGTCCTGCAAAATTGAGGACAAACGGCCAATCAGCTTTCTGTAAACTTGTACCAAGTTACAGGAATTCGAGTTACACCCCAAACGATAAGAAATCGGCTACATGCTGCCCATTTGCATGCGTGACGACTACGTGTTGTGCCTCCATTAACTCGCCAGCACATGGCAAACAGGCGTCAATGGTGTAGGTAGCGTAGAAATTGGGGTAATCGTCGATGGGCGCGTGTAATGTTCTCAGATGAGTCCAGATTTACTCTGGATTTCACCGATAGGCGTACTTGCGTTTGGAGGCGTGTAAATGAGCGTCATGCTAACGTTAAGGTCAGACAGCATGACAGATTATGGTGTGGGGAGAAATCGTCATGACTGGCAGAACGGACTTGAAATTGTTTAAGGAAGGGTCACTGGTGTGTACTACCGTGACCACATCCTGGCATTGACAGTTCTGCCCTTTGCTCAACGTGCAGGTCGACGTTTCATCTTTCAAGATGATAATGCCCGTGCCCACCGCGCTCGTGCCATGAATGACTACCTCCAGCATCACCATATTGTCCATATGCCTTGGCCAGCCAGGAGTCCTGACCTTTCCCCTATAGAGCATGTCTGGGACATGATCGGGAGACGTGTTCGTCGACGTCAACATCAACCGACAACACTGCAAGAATTGGCCGTGGCACTGCAAGAGGAGTGGGTCAGATTGCCCCAAATTCTGATTGGACGGTTGATTAGGAGCATGTCATAATGAATTGCTGAATGCCTGAGGATTGGTGGAGCAATTACTCATTATTAAGACAAAAATCAAAAACATCCATTTTCACTTTTGACAGTGTATCTCTTTGCGAGTGAAATGGGGCCATCAGATAAGCCACCCATATGAACTGTTTATGTTCATGTGTAGGCAATTGGCCTGTTATTAACATGCACTGGTTACCTCTAATAAAAACAGCAGTGCATTTCCGCAGTTTTGTATTGTTTCTGAATATCCCTACTTTTTTTGAAGAGTATATAATAAATAGTCTTATGAGTAACTAAGTTGGTTCAATGAGTGCAATGAAATGAAATGAAATGGAGTTTAACGTCCTACTGTTCTGCTCCTAACCTGGGCTAATGAAGACGGGCATACGCCATACAGTGTGCTATGAGGGAAATTTTGCCCGGACAGCGGCACTTCGGCCTACTCTTATATCGAATTCCAACTGCCAAGGGATCTTTTACGTGCACGCCAATGTGTACACGGGACCTCGGTTTTTCGTCCCATCCGAACGACTAGACAGCTTTCCTTGTCAGGCCCTCCGTCCTGCTCAATGAGTGCAAAAAAGTATACAGTTATAGTTCAGTTCTGAAATACAATATATCAGTATGTACTGTACATGTATTTGATATTTGGAGAGAGCACATTCTTAGTTTAAAGTCAGCTGTACACACAAATTTTTTATACATGATTACTCCTGTTAGTTTCCAAAAACAGTAGTTTTAAATATGGTAATACAAAAAAATAAAGACAAAGGAATATGCTAAAACTATATTATTGAAAGTGAATAGAAATAAAAATTGGTTTTATTAAGTGATAGCCTAAGATCCAATTAAAAATTTAACCAAATGTAATAACAGCTTTCTACAGGGTAAACAGATTACCATGCACATTGTTAATATATTGATATATATGTATGTGTCTACCGTTAAATTACGAGATATATAGTAAATGCTAAAATAAACATTAGTTTTTATCTAGGCTACTAAAGCATTTCAAACAATTAAACATGGTTGAAATTAAATATAGGCTATCAGTATCACAGAAAAATATTTGTGTATTAACATAATATGTAAAAAATATTATTATGGTGACTTTGCAGCATCAGATGTATTAGAATCACTAGATATTCTCCGATTTCGACTACGACCCGTCAAGGGCGCTGTGGTTGTTGATGTTGATGGTTGACAATCACTATCATCTGAATGTCTGTCACCAGATGCTGATCTAGATGATGATCCAGAACTTTTTTTGATAGGAATATGAAATTCATCCGCTACTTCTCTTGTAGAACGGGCTATTTTTAAAATTGTTCGTCCATTTCCATAATCCACCTGCACCAGTGTTCCAATGCCATAACATTGTTCATTTTCTGAAGAATAATCGTCATCACGATTATCTGAACTGTTATCACTAGATTGTTCTGAGTCGCGTAGAGACAACAGCTCTTCTCGTAAGGCTAACACTGAATCACTTCTACGATAATCCACATCAGGAGATACTTGTCTACGAGGTGAAGATGGTTTATGTGATGGTGGTGTATTATCGGTCTGTGAAGTTGTTGGAGTCGAATCAGACGATCTCAGTCTTTTCTTGGATTTAGAAGATGATCTGTTATGAGACGAGGTAAAACCAGCCACCGAATCATCTGAATCGGAACTGTCCGTAATACTTCTACTTGAACGGGAATAACGTTCCGATCTTTTTCTTTTGTTCCTCCGTCTTGTAAAGCTAATATCTGATGACTCAGAATCTCTTGAATGATGAGAATCATTTGAGTGACTATTATTTTCAAGACTAGAATGACTTCTTTCATCATGATCTAGTCTATTACTAACACTTGTGCTGCTAAATGAACTATCATATCTGTTACTCGTATTATGCGGGTCAGTGCTATGGTTAGAATGATCTTCAGAATTGTTATCCCATGGTTCATTTCTTACCGAATCACTAAAATTATTTGAATTTCTATACAGTCTCCTTTCAAAATCGGAGAAATCTGAATTATCATCATGGTCTGAGTGATAAGAACTCCTAGAATAACGACTTGGGCATCTGTCACTGTTATCAGAATGGCATGAGCTCTCTGTATCACCTGTAACATTCAATGTGGCATTTTGATTTATTCGAACTATCTCCCTTTCTGTATTTAAAGGGCAATCGCACAAGTCGATGTCTAGCTGACAAGAATTGCACCTCAGTCGGGTTGATCTACCGCTGGTGGTCGTTTCATTCGGTTGATTTTGGTTCAAATGGCAATCACATAAATCATTATGTAAATTACATAAATCACACCTGTTAGGATCAGGTGGTGTAGCCACGGTAACAGTACTTGTAAAATCTGTAAATGGAACCTGTGGTGGAGTTGCAGGGGTTGTTACATGAATACTGTTGTCAATGGTGGCTATGCTGTTTAAAATGGCCTCTTGTTCAGCTCTCTCTACATATGGTAATGGGAAAGAATCCATCGAAGAATCAGAACTGTGAAAAGATCTGACAGGGCTTCTGGATAGACTGCGATCGGGAGTACGCGATGGACTACGAGATACACTTCGTGATGACCTACTTAAATGACTTATATCACTATATCTACTTGAAGTTGAACTTGAATCCCATGACGAATGTCTGCGTCTAGACTCTTTCTTCAATGTGTTCACTTCTTGTTGTAATAAATCATATTTTGTTTTTAGTTCCAGTAATTCTGCTTGTAGAACATCATACTCCTTGTTTTTAGCTGAAATTAAAGCAAAGAGGAAACTCTTACTCTTACATTTTTTTTTCATTTCTGTCTATTTCTATCCGCTGATGTCTCGCAAATATTTTACTTACCAGTAGTCAAAAATATGTAGACCCTACTATGAGCATGAGTCTGCCATTATGAATTAATTTTAAAGCAAATCTGTGCACAAAAAACTGCATTATAAATGGCTCTGCTAGTACATGTATAGCAGTAATTCTAGGATCAGTTATTCTATATCTATACTTTATTCTGACAAAATTTAGATCTAACAGTTTTATCTATACTGTTGTTACATCAAAAATGACTTTCAACTTTCAATGGTTCTTTTACGTGTAAATGAGTAAATGAGACCTAAATTTTTCGGCCAATCTTAACAACTCAACGGTGTTCATTGCAAGGCCCTGTGTTCTTCTACACCACTTACAATGAGGGGGAAACCACACACTTTGGTGTGAACAAGAGTGAGTAAATATTAAATCAAACTGGCATTTAATAATGTTTGAAAATGAGGTATAACATTAACCGGTCGTGATATTGTATTATTCTCATATATCAAAGAACCTGTCTTCATTAGAAGATTCGTTTGAAAGATTCAAATGTTCATACCTTCACAATAGGCTTTAAGAGCTTCCAAACAATCATGACTGTTGACTTCTGTTAAAGGAATCTTTAAACCACACTGTTTCTTGCAAGCTATTTCTCGGTACATACACTGCTGTTCTTCATGTACTTGAATCAACTTTCTTAGCATTGTCTGAGAACATTTAGGATATTTGCATACAACTATCTCGTATCCACAAATTTTAATGTGAACAGAATATTTTTCTAATGTTATCTTATCTTTGCAGCCATTAGTTACAAAGTCACATGCCAGTGTTAATTTATTTAGCATATTTCTAACTAAGGGTAAAACTGTTTTTAAGTCATTTTTTTCAACACGATTACGGCAGGTTGGACAGTTATGTTTGTTATTCAACCATGTCTCAATGCAGACCTTACAAAACACATGCCTACATGGACATTCCATAGGTTCATCCAGAACATTAGTACAAATACAGCATATTAATTCTTGATCTGGTGGTGGCACAAACTTGTCCACGTCATAGCGTGACATCTTTAATTTTAACCTGTAAAATATTATAACAGATATAGTCAATGTGTTTGATGCAGTAATTGGGATAGTTTTTAAAATACCCAAATCCACCATTATTTCAACATATATCACAATCATTTATATCGTTTTGTTTTTTTAATATATAACCATTCCTTTAGCTAAATGTCATATCAAAATTACAGTATTCTTGTTTTAAAATCTGACAATTCATGCTTGTTTGGTCGTCGTATTGAATAAATGTAACTTGTGTATATATATCCAAATTTTCCATTTTCTAAAATCAGATTTGGACACAAAAATGCAAAGATTTTAAATTAAAAATGACGATTTGGCATAAAGAACAGTAAATGATCAAAAATCAATATAAATTATTGTGATATGAGTTGAAATTATGGTGAATTTGGGTAAATCATGCTACCGTAGTTCGTAGACTGACAAGCAATTAGGCAATAAAAGTTGAGATATTCATTTTGGTGCCTTATTTCCATATGAAAACACCTGCATTTGGTGGTAATTCAACTCAGTTGTATATTAGCCTACCTGCTGTATACTAATACTAAGATGTCTGTAACATGACATTGTAAATGGGTGCTACATGTATGTCAGCATTTCATAATGGCAGATCATTTCAAACGAATTTTGTTTATGTTTTTGGATCGCTAAATTCTACATGAAAATAGTGTGCCATTATCATTATCATAAATTTGTGTCGGATGTGGCAAGAAATGATTCCTTTTGGTGAACAATGAATCAAGGTGAAAAATACTAAAATAGACAGTAAGGATTCCAAAATAGCCTTATACTCGCGATGGGGGCAAAGCCTTATTTTCATATTAGTTGTCTATGGGATCAGCCAGTAACGGATAGAGGCCAAAGCCGAAAAGAATCTGTTGTTACAGTAACTATTACTGTGTGAACCAAGGTAAATTATAAACGGATTTCTTCGATTGTGAACAAACTACTGAATAATTGTTATTAAAAACTTGCCTATGTGTTTGAAATCACCTCTGGTTGAATAAAATCCATTGCACAATTAAATATCCAAACCAAAACAAAAGTTCTCTCTTGAAAAATCAATGTTTTTGCTTGTATTTTCGACAGTGTCCATCACAACATTACACATGTCACGTCATGAGCTAAACCATCATAATATGTTGAAGGGGGGTAAAGGTTGAATCACGTGTGTTGAAATAACAACAGCGCACGACCGTTTCGAATTTTTGAGTTTGGGCAACACAATAGCAACTGAGACAAAGACATTGATTTCGAAACAATTGATTGTCAGTCTACTAAATTTTATTCACAATGAATATATCACCAATTATACGAATACTTGTAAATATAATATTGTTTTTCACCCCTGTATATATAATTGTATATTGGATACATTGCCTTGTGAATTTCAAAACAAAACCGGGAATTTACAAAATAATTGTGTTACCGATCACGTACGATTATAAATTTTTCTAAACAGTTTTTTGCACACCGGAAATAATATTCAGAGCGAAATAAAAAGAAACTGAACTATGTGCCGATAATTAATCCGGTGTGCGGTATGATTAATTGTTGGTAATAATTTTTGGTATTTATATAAAAAAAAAATAACGTTATAGGCCTATACCTATTCAATGATTCAATGGCCTCGGCTATTAATGTTGTCTAGGCAAATGTAAAATACATCGGCATTTACCTCGACTACAGCAGATTGCTGAGGTTAATTGACAGGACTGTTTAAGTTCCTCAGGAAATATTAACCAGCGGCTGCCAGGCAGTATACGCCCACATTTTCGATAGATGGATAGAGAACAAGCTAAAAACTCGATTTTTCGTAAAATCAGGGGCCATAATCCATGAAGTTTCGATCCGATACATGCCAATATCTAAAGCAGCCGAGATCTTTGGGTTATAAACTTACATTTCATGTTTCAAACAAATCGGATAAGAATTGTGACCTATAGAGAGTCCAGACAGGGGCGACGGCATAATACGTCCACATGAAAATGTGGGCGTATAAAAATATTCAAGGGTGAAATTAATTCAAGGTCAGTAAAACAAATATAATTGAAAAGAAATAATCCCACCAAACTCTCTAACCAAATAATTTTAATACAAGAGGGAAACAAAATACCGGACTATGGGTGTATTTATGTTTTTAAACGCCCAAACTCATTACTGCGTTCCGAGAGGAATAGCTTATTCATACACAACCGTTACGACAGACAAGCCTTGCTTTGACCCCCCTATACGAAATGATATATCCCGATAAGTGACGTAATTAGCTTCCATTTTGGTTATTTCTCGGTATCAAAGTTTGTAATGAGTTCAATTTTACAAGAGAGAACTTTTTTATTCCCAAGGACATATAGTTGTACAATGGATTTTATATAACCGGAGGTAATTTCAAACACACAGGTAAGTTTATAATAACCAAAGTATAGTAGTTTGTTCATAATCGAAGAAATCCGTTTATTATTTACCACGGTTCACACAGTAGAGTAGTATTATCTACAGTTTACCACCATGCTGCACCTACGAGGGGACTGGATAGATTACCAAACCTATCTATTAGACTAAGAAATATATTCATAACTATACCTGTCTCTCACTTGTGAGAGCAACACATTTAAACAAGAGAAGAAACGTATAGTTGGTTATTCAGTCATCAGTGTTCCAATTGGACACTGGAAGCCACCCTCCACTTCCAGTACTACTAACTAGGTCGAGTAGGCCTCAGTCCACAGACTGACAGTTATCTTCCCTTGGAAAACGTCAATAAATTCTGAAATATTTTTTCTTTAACTTTTTCTGACATATTAAATAACAATGCATTTAGTTAACATGTCTGTTGAATAATTCCACTTCTAAAATTTCTCCTGAACAATGTACATTGACATTATCTTGCTGCTAGCTGGCATCATTTCGATTTTAGTCAAGAGCCAAGAATCCACTGTCAGGATTTTTACAAATTTCGGAATGGTGTTCGCGTCAATCGAGATACGAAACGAATCGAATAAAAATAATAACAATAAATAGATTTGTCGGTATAATAATAATTCTAGACAAGATATCATTTGGTTTACAAAAATATAGAAATATATTTTAATATTTCATTTTGATAAAACTGCCACTCCCAAGTTTACAAAAGACAAATTTAGTTCAAAAATTGGAGTTCTCTCCCTTCCACTGTAGTTGCAGTTTGCTATTTTTTACACTTTAACCTCTTAGTTTTACCAACCGCACTTGTCTTGTTGAGGTATTTTGTGTGGGCCTAGCTGCCTTGTTATTATCTATTATCTGTTTCATAAGATTCATATTATTTTGATACTCACTGAATATATATTATGTAATAAGTTTAAGGTGGGAATAGTCTCCTAGTACAAGGATTTTTTCTATGAATTAATTTTTTAATGAATACAAAATTATATTTGTAGGATAGGCCGGATGATGAAGAACTTGACAGGAACATATTAATTTTAAGACTTAATCAAGCTAGGCCCTAAACCTCTTTGATTTAGTTCAAAATAAAGTTTTATTTGATTGTCTCCATTTATTGACTTCTTAAAAAAAGTTTCCGTACCGTACCGGTAAGATAGGCCTACAAATATATAAATATATTTTATTTTCATTTTCATCTTACTGCACAGGAATGAAACACACAGTCGGATACCGGTATATCTTATTATATAGCTTTATCTATACCGGTAGTCATAAAGTTTTGTGAATAGACACTTGATTGGTCACCCCATACAATAGTTACGTTAGTAACGAAAATGTGAGAGCCCTACCTGATCTCTTAGGGCTCTCATATTTTCGTTACTAAAGTAACTACCCATACAACAAATCAATATATATATATATATATATATAGGCCTACCATCAAATGAACCATTTTATTTGTGACTCAAATCAAAGTGCTAGTCAATCTTTTTAAGAGAAATCAAGAATTTCAAGTCCATAATTAAAACTGTAAAAAATTTTTCTTAATTTGTTTACAACAATACAGCTGATAATTATCGGCTATATAATAATTAATAGGCTATAGTTGGACTAAATCAATGATGAAGCTGATTGACATAGAAAGCCTTGTTTGTTAGAGAGGAAGTAGAATGTTTGCTAAAAAGAACCATATTGATGGATCCTTTATGAACGGGATGGTTAAAACATTTAGCTACTCTTCATAAAGTCATGACACTGTTTTGTACGGCTGTTGATAGTCAATGGTATAACTATTGTATTACTTTAAGGTCGAGACTTCAGACCATGACAACAATTTCACAAAAATTCTCCTTCAGTACATCCAGATCTGAAGCCACTCAAATGTTGACTCTTTTGGGATAAAAATTGCCTGTTACCATAACCAAGGATTGGATTACTGTACTTAACCCTTTAGGACTGCCTGCAACTAGCTGCCTCAACTTGGTCTCCAAACCTCCAAAGAACTAGTAAACTGTCCTATTATACAGAGAGTTATTCACATATCTCGGGCGGTTTCAGGCTGTCCAGGGATTTACCGGTATACTGGTATCATTTTTCTCTAATTTTCGTCAAAGAACTGGGTTAGTCAATAATGTCATGTACCAAATTTTAATGGATATCTTTCTTAATCTTTGATTTTGATAAAATATGGTACCGGGTAGTTAAGATTTAGAGAACGGTTGAAATGTCTAAAATCTTAGTATTAAATAGTTTATATTGTAGCCCACAATATAAGTTAAATTGTGGTTACAATTAGCTTGAGAGATTAAATACAAATTTTTAAAAAATCTCTTTTAGATATTATTAATAAACAAAATGGGAACTGTTTACGAAGATGAAGACCAGATGTCAGCAATACTTCATGCAGTGGGAGAATATTTTGAAGTTAAAAAGAAAATGGATGCCATAAAAGCCTTTACACTAAGCCATCCTATTGTTACACTATTCAGTATAGTTATGGTAGCAATGTGCAGTATACCTATTGTCTGTTTCTTCACATTCCTATTTGGAAGTATTTGTTTGGCAGTGACTGGCTTCGTGCTTATTGAAGGTCTGTATTATCATTTTAAAATGTTCCTTGACCTTGTCTATGCTCTATATGCACTACTTTGCGATTTTTAACAACAAACCTGTATACTCTAATGTATAGGTTGTGTCTCCACTTAGTGACCTTGAACAGATCTATCGTGGCATAGATAAACATGAATAGGTTTAAAAATCTGAGTAGTACACCTTAACTAGAAGATGCCAGTACTTGGTAGTACTTTTGTAATGTCATCCATGAAGGTTCTTGGTGAAAACATAAAGGCCTCAGGATGGGAATATATGATAAATAAATTAGGTATTGGTAGGTCTAGAGGACTGTCATAAAGTCTCTGTAGTTTCTGTTCCCCTTGCTTCGCTTTAGATCCCCAAATCCAGTGGTGAATCCAGGTGTCCAACAAAAGACTGACTACCAGTAGAAGGAATGATGAGACAGATGGGTTAGGAAAGAAAACGTCCCCCTCCTCCTACCAGATTTCCTGGCTGTGTCCGTCACTGCCCAAATCTACACTTATTTTAAACCCTGTCACTTGAAAAAAAATAAACATTTACCTTTCCAATTTCAGGTACTGTTCTAACAATTGCAACAGTTTTCTTTGGCATTTCTCTTTTAATTGTTGGATTTTGTGCCGTTGGTATCAGTGGAATTATTGTAGCTGGATTTTATGTCTTTGACTGTAGTTGCAGCCTTATTCAAAAAGTTTCGGACAGAAATATGAGTGAGGATAACAAATTGGAACCAAGAACTTTGAAAGCAGAAGAACATAGAAAGATGAAGTAAAATGGATGACTGGTGATCAAATTGTTTGGATCTTAGTATTATCCAGTATGGAAACAAGTCATATGGTGCTTCAGAATGGTGCCATTTTAAGCAATTTAGTCTTTAATATTATGGGATGTTTATTGTTAACAATGGATACTTAATGCATAATTTGTTTTATTCTGACTTTTATTAAACTTTTTAAAACCAGATCTTTAAAGTTTTTTAATGTCCAACATTATGATATTATTATTATCTTATTTCTAACTTTAATGATTTCCAATCTTTCGAAATATTTGTTTATAATTTAATTTGATTAAAAGTTATAATGTGTAGCATTTAGGATAACACATCAATTCATGCAGATATTTCTAGTCAAAAAATCTGATTAATATAGAATCTGAATTGTAGTTAAAGACGATCTGATATCCGTACTTTGGTGTTGTATCTAGACCCAAGGGAGAATTTTTAATCCTAAAATTAAGCCACGGTTATTTTAAATCTATCTATGTCTTGGTGGTTAAACATCTGCTTCCACAACAATGATGTTGCAGGCAAGGTCTAGGAGAAACAGAAACATGCGCCTGTATATTAGAATATGATTTTGCAATCTTTCCATTTGCAGCCTATGGCCATTTATTGGTTTAGTGGGGAGATCTTCCCTTTATTAATGGAATAACATAATTTGCTCAGCTAATCAAGTTGCCCAATTATTTGAGATATGACATGACATTATACACACCAGAATTCCTACACATCAACTTAATCATGCATATTGACTTTCATTTTATCATTAGGCTATTTCATACCTTAACTGAGACAATGGATGTGTTATTAATCTCATCAACAATAAAATCAGTTTTACACTAATTAAAGTAAAATTATATCTAAATAATAACTATCCCATTGTTTCTATCAATGATGGAACCTATTCTAGAGACCATCTCGCATTTATAAGCATGTACTTGTGAAATATGTTCTAATAGATAATTTAGAATTGTATTGTATGAAAATAGCCTACAAAAGGCAGCATACAACATAATTATGTACATAATATACAGATATGAAAGTGCTTGTCCTCATTTATCATTGAAAAAACCAAAGTTGAATCTAACTTAATTTTAAAAAATGGTTATTTTCTAACATTTCTCCTTTTTGTGAGAATTTATTGTTTCAAAAAGATTGCTTCTTTTTTAAAACTCTGTTGTTTTTGTTGTTTTTTTTATATTTTTTTTTTTTTTAGATAATTTAATTTTTTTTAAATGGGTGATAAATCAGTTATTAAATATGACATCAAATAACTTGCTAAGTCATTCTTCCCCTAAAATTTGTACCAGTTTGTTGAAATGATAAAAGAATATTGCAAAAAGGTGTATTTCTATTTAGATTTAGATGCATAAAAATGAAAAAAAGTATAAGTAGATAATCTGTAGCCTTCACATAATATACAAAGGGTTTATTTTGTATAACTCTTATTATAAAAAATTAACACAAAAAAGAAAAATACATTTAACCATAGTCTACTGTATAACTTCTGTGTGTAATCATGACAGTATAAGGTATATTTTTTTAATAACTTGATTAACACCTACTGCCCCTCATTGCTTTGTCACGGCAAAAGGGTTGAGCAAAGGTTCCTGGGGAAAATATTCTAATATAAAATTAAGGACATTTAGTCAAAGTTCTAGTGCCTGTTTAGCAATTATATTCATACTTCTAATTGTTGTATTATTCATAACTCTGTAACAATTAAAGGTAATAATGTTGTTTGTAAATCTATAGTATTAACCCATGTAGATTGTTATTATTAAGGTATCAAGTTAGATGTAGATTATTATTATTATCACGGTATCAAGTTAGACCTACATTATTATTATTAACATTATGGTAATGAATGACAAAAGACTTATTTTAGAGCTCTGTAAATCCAACTGCCGTCTAAAGTTCTAGGGTTAGGACTAGGATCTTAGAGAAGTGCCGAGTCTAGTGTAATGAATTATATACTAAGATTGTCAGTACTGCCTTATGTATATAGGCCTTTGTAGCATTATTTATTCCTTAAAATCAATGGTAAATAAAGTTCTTAAAGTTTTGATTTTAAGAGACTAAAAGTTTAAGTCCTAGGAGTTGCGTTAGTAGAGATAATTTTGCTTCATTTCTACATCTATTGTTATCTTTGCTCTATAGATTTGACTTTATCAAACAGTTGCTATCAAAGTTCCAATACTGTACATTAATTCTTCCTCAAGAATAGATTTTATATTGTTCATTGTTTTATGGGGCCAATGGTAATTCTTTTGTTACACAAAAATGATTGCCAATTTGCAATGATTGATCAGATGAACACATGAATATGTGATGTATGGTTATTTGAATATGTGATGTATGGTTATTTGAACATGTGAGATATGGTTATTTGTGTATTGTTGATTTTTTTAATTCTTTTTATGAATCACAAAGATTTTAGTGATTTTAAAAGTCAATAAAAAATTCGACTCTAATAATTTCTTCTTTTGCTTTTGGATGCTCACATTTAATGGGGAGCCGAGGTGGCTCAGCAGGCATAGCACTGGCTCACTGACCCAAAGTCCTGAATGCGATTCTAGTGTTGAATGGGAAAGTTCCTCAGGATTTTCCAGGCTGTTTTTCCCTCAGCAGTGGTGGAGGATGGAGGGCCTGGCAAGGCAAATAAAGTGTCTAGACTTTGTGATTAGATGAAAAAATGAGTTTCACCTTTGTGCATGTCAAAGTCCTCGACAAAACATTTCCTTCATAGTACTCTGCATGGCTTGTGACCCGTGTTCATTAGTCCCGTTGGTACAGACAGTTAAACCCCATTTTATTTCCACATTTAATGTGTTGATCTGCTCTTAAACTTTTCTTATGAATGCAGAGATGAAAATGAAATGAAATGGGGTTTTAACGTTCTGCTGTTCTGCTTCGACTGGGCTAATGAAGGTGGGCATACACCATGTGCTATGAGGGAAATTTTGCCTGGATAGCGGATCTACAGCCTACTCTTATATCGAATTCCAACTACCAAGGGATCTTTTATGTGCACGCCAATGACCTTGGTATTTCGTTTCATCTGAACAACTATACATTGTCCCTTTCCAGGCCCTAGGACTTGTATATGCATTAGAAGCAAGAATACTTAGGTAACCTTTATGACTGTCTTGCTGGTGTGCATAAATGAAGGTCTAAAAATCATTTGAACTAATTTTGACGATAATTCAAAATTTTGTTAATTAGGCAGCTACTCTGGCATAATATAATAATCAGAATTTGTTTCCCTTGTTATGACCACTGACCTGTCCAAATAGGGAAATCGGAATTGTACAATTTTAAAACACCCTTGTCCATGCTGAAATAAGTTGTAGAGATAAATCGTGTTTAACTTCCACTATTATATACTCTTCAAAAAAAGTAGGGGATATTCAGAAACAATACAAAACTGCGGAAATGAGGTAACCAGTGTATCTTAATAACAGGCCAATTGCCTACACATGAAGATAAACAGTTCATATAGGCGACTCATCTGACGGCCCCATTTCACTCGCAAAGAGATGCACTGTCAAAAGTGTAAATGGACGTTTTTGATTTTTGTCATAATAATGAGTAATTGGTCCACCAATCCTCAGACATTCAGCAATTCGTCGTGGCATGCTCCTAATCTACCGTCCAATCACGATTTAGGGCAATCTGACCCACTTCCCTTGCAGTGCCACGGCCAATTCTTGCAGTGTTGTCGGTTGACGTTGACGAACATGTCTCCCGATCAAATTAACCATAACACACTAAAGCAAAGATACGCTAAACAGTAAATCTTATGCAAGAAACGATAGGAAAGCAAACATGGATAGGATAAACCAGCAAGTGGCAGTTTTCAACAACCCTTCCTTGAAGTGTCAAATTTGACATTGATTGTCGCACATGCAGCTCAGTGGTTCTGTTGGGGCGATAAGTTCTTCATCTGTGAACATATTCTCAAAGCATGTCAAGTGTCCATGACTATTTATCATATCACAACCTGCATAGGTATTTGCATTTCAATATCCCCTACTTTTTTTGAAGAGTATATTTCAATTATTGGCTTGCATGTAGGCATCTTTAGTAGTGGTATGAAACCAGTGGACCCAGGGAAAACCTACAAGACCTATTCCTTGTCACATACAAATGTGGGTATTGCAACCACGCCAATGGACCTTATAATCTAAAGTGCACGCGTTCTACCATTCAGCCAACCAACCCCATTGATCAAGTGGATGGGGGCTGGACAGAAGTTATGACATAAGCTGTTTGTTTCAATAACGATTTTATTTTCTATTATTAGGCTGCTTTGATTGCATCATATCCAGAAATATAGAAGATTCTATACAAACCTATTCAGTATTTTCAAATTTTTCAATAATATTATTCATATTTTAATGACTTTACAACAAACATACATTAAACCTATGAAAAAAACCAAATCACTGGTAGTGGAAAACAATGAAGTCATATAATGGAGTCAAATTTCTTTTATTATTTACATTAATTTAAGGAAGCACTGGCACCAACTCAGAGATTTCTCAAAATTAAGGTTCCATTAATTTCTTATTGGCAGTCCAATATCATATGTGCACAAAACAAGCACAAAAACTAAATATTCTGATTATGTTTAGATACAATTCCAAAATCAATCGATTTCCCTTCAGCATTATCTGTCGGCAGTTTTCATCCCTGACATAAATATGAATCTGCGGTAAATTATAACGGCCAATAGAATAATGTTCCTAACAATTTGTCTACTTGTAGACAATCCATCACTTACGAACCATAAGGGTAGATAACATTTTTTTTATAACACCCAATAGAATTTCCCCGATATTTCGTTGGCTGTAATGTACTCGACAGGCAGCCAATCTATTTTTTCATAACAGATAGTTTATTGATACCTTTGTTAGTGGTCATAACGTTTAGCTCTGAATAAACCAATCATTGTACATGTATGTGTACAGGACATGATTCTATTTGAATGCAATTTCTGTTTATAACTAAGCAACATTTCGACTTCTCTAGTCTATTTCAAGAAGTGATAAAATATGATGGAACAATATATACACATAAAAAGCAATACAAACAGCTTGGTTGATGGTAACACCAATGACATATATACATGTTGCTAATTAATTTAGGTAATTATATTTTATCATTGCTTGATAATCCTAGTCCAAACATTGTCGCTGAATATAAAACAGTAATTGTATTCCATAGAAATGTTACCTGTGTATTTCCAGTTCAATTACAAAATGCCATTGAAACAATCAATCTTTGTATGGTTAAAATAAACATTGCCATATAACCCTGAAGGTGATGTAAATTCTTGATATATATATATATATATATATATAATTATCACAAATATGTTAATCACCAATGTAAATATTTATGATTCAAAACTGTGATCCTGGGTGATAACCTTGGTGGAAGCAGATGTTAAAGCTATTTCACACAGAGAGAATTCTTGTCTAAGACAAATTGTCCTCAACAAAATGTTGGTGAGATATCAGTATGGTATGCTAAGTGTTCTGCCAAGGCCTTCAAGATTTAATCTGTTTTGAGCAGAATGGAAGCTGCAACACACTGTATATACAATTAACATAATACATTGACATAAAATTAACATAATGCACTGTACATACAATTAACATAATGCATTGTACATACAATTTTAAAAATGCTTTGTACACACAATTAACATAATGCATTGTACATACAATTTACATAATGCATTGTACATACAATTAACATAATGTATTGTACATGCAATTCACAAAATGCACTGTGCATACAAATAACATAATGCATGCATTGTACATACAATTAAAATAATGTATTGTACACACAATAATTGATGTAATTTTTTTTTCATTATACTTTAATACATGAGTGCTGTGATTTAAAATCGTGTGCAAAACTAAAGTAATTGATTATACAAGATTCTAATACAATATTGACACCTTTAATACGTTTGCCACCATTACATCATGTGGTTTGAGTATATACACTATCTTTAGTGCAAAAACAAACATCTTTCATTTCTAACGCATAAATTATTTTCTTACTATTTGGTATATGCTGCCAATTATTTTGATTTTATTGCATTCTTAATAAAGAAAAGTTTAGATTTTCTTTATTAAAAGTTATTAAAAGATAATTTATCTTCTTTCAAGTTAGTGAAAGGAATTATTAAGATGTTGTGGCATCGGCAGTGATTTAGAGCAGATGGCTACCGTAGTTAGAACAAAAAAAAAAACCCATCCCAACATAATCACAATTAATATGATAATAGACTTGCCAAAAGGATAAATACCTGTTCCTAAGATTATTATTTAAGCTTAAAAACATATTACTGGCAACCAGACAATGAAGATTAGTAATTATGGAATGCAAAGCTGTACGACAATAGACTATACCACAGTTGAATACTAGTCAATATAATGTAAGACGTTGTATTTTAATCTCTTTAAGTGACTGTGAATTCAGCTCTAATTTTGATGTAAAAAAAAGTTTTATTATGGAATTCTAGTAGTAGCCTATCATTATTCAGTAGAATTATTTGAAGCCATGTTACACACAATTAATAATTCTTTTTAAATCAATATTCATTATGTCATTTATTTACAGTTAATATAAAATCATATCTTAAATAAACCTATAATATAATATATACATGCTGACAGATACCCTTTCTGGAAATTTATTCTGCCAAAAAGATTTTTATTTCACAGAAAACTACGATAAATAAACCAGAACTTTCTTAAAACTTTGGCACTGTATACAATGATTGATACTAATTGTAAAATATGATATTAGTGATTATGGGCATCATACACCTGGGCCCCGTTTCACAAAAACTTAAATCTCCTTAAAATTGTCTTTAACTAAATTTCAACCTATCTTAATTAAGATAAGCGAGTCTCACAAAACGATTTTAAGCATTTTAGCTAAAATCCATTAAAATAGTATTTTAAGTTAATACTTTATTTAACTTAAAATATTGGTGTTTTGCAAAACCATTTTAGGGACTATTTTAACTAAAATTAATTTTAAGTTAGGACATCCGTCTCGCTCTCCCAGTATAACTAAATAAACCACCTGCAAGTTAGATTTTATGTAGTGGAAAACACCATCTTTCTTATTAGATTGGATTGTTACAATCAATATAGAACCATAAATATCTGGGTTATTAAGGTCTGTATCCCACTGTATGTGTTGTTTAGAGTGTTCACAAAAAAAACCCCTGGAAAGACAAACTGATGCAGGTGACAACAAAATATGACCTACCTAAAACATGACTTTACCTAAAGCACGACTTTACATAAAGTATCACATTACATAAAGCATGACTTTGCCTAAAGTATCACATTACATAAAGCATGACTTTACATAAAGCATCACATTACATAAAGCATGACTTTACCTAAAGCAAGACTTTACCTAAAGCAAGACTTTACCTAAAGTATCACATTACATAAAGCATCATTTTGCCTAAATCGTGAATTTTATCTAAAGTAAGAACACAGCATATACAGCCATTAGTATTTCAGTATTTAATCTTACTAATAAGTAGAACAAATAATAATCATTCATAAATTTTTTCAATTAAATGAATATATTGTATACAAAAACAAAACAATGAAAAACAGTCTTAATATCTTACTAAAAAATAAAATTATTCTTCCAAGTATTTTTACACATACATGTATCATGTAAACAAGTTATAACTATCTGTCCAGGTTGTATTTCAAACTACTTTTGAGTATTTACAAAGATGATTTTGGCAAGTTATAAAAACATGTTTCGAGTAAGACAGCTTTAAAACAAGTATAATTATGTATGAGTCAGTAGCATGCAGATGTTTGGTGATGCCCAGGGCCAACTCCTTGGTTATATTTCCCGAAGAATCAAGTCTAGGGCCTTGTACTGAGAAATCTTGAGAAACGAAGACATTTTAAATATGTCAAAACATATGAAGTAAATTTTTTATTCAAATTAAGCATAAATCCGCCAAATTAATTAAATTGACATCTCTTGCCAGAAAACACTTGAACTACTTCATTTTTTTTCAGTTTCTCTACTCTGATTTCACTTATTAAAACAGATCCACATTCACACCAGCTTGTACAATGAAATTAACAGTGAAAATTTCAAATTTCAAAAACTTAATTCTTTGATAGGATGTTCCCACTGAAATGAAAGCCCGGGGCCGTTACCCACTCTGCCCACACCCTCCCTTTCTGCATACCACTGGTATGAGATAATAAGTTGTAATAAGTTGTCAATAAACTTGCTCATGATACATGTATCAATAAATCGAGCTATTGAAAACATAACTCGTTGATAAAATATGGTATGTATTAATTACCTCGTTGTTATCAACATCAAATTGACTCAGTTGAAAGTCTGATAGTAGTCATTAATAAATTATTAAAGATACATTATGTAATAATTAGATAAAGAGCTGTCCTTCTTGATATAGTAGTTCAAAAATAGATAATGAAATATGAATATTTGGACAATTTAAGTCAATTTACCTTATTCTGAGTGTTTGAAGTTTTAACAAGAAAAAACCAATTGCCAAGTACCATTGCAATGAGAATAAACGATGTCTTGCTTTTCAGTCCCTTTATTGAGTGACATCCAACTTAATTTTAAGTGGTATATGGCACAGATAATCCATTCAATATCTTGGCCATCTGATGTCCTAGAGAGTTGATTATGAGCTTGTCATGTGAATTAATGTCTAAATAATAATTCATATAACATTTGAAGCCAGAAAAAAGACCTGCAAAAGACAGATTTAACTCTTGCATATTGCATCTTTAAGAAATATAATAATTGAAGAATAAATATACGAAAACACAAACTCCTTTAAACCAAGCCTTGAAATAAGGTACCGGTCACGGATATTGATAGGCATAAATTCAGATTTTGTCAGACACAATCCCTCTGGTGTCTATCATTTTGTCTGGCATTGATTTATGTGTTTCTTGATATCATTAATATGTCTGCCATTAGTGCCAGACATGTTTTCAGGCACAACTAGAATCATTATTTTCAGGCCCACTTTACTCTACAATAGCATCTTATTTTCATCAATTTCATTTTTTAATTTTGTATCTTTAATAATCTCATCATTCGCATGAATTTAGTACCATTCTAGAAGAAAAACAAATTAGCCAAACTCATGCTTATCAAATCCAAACTATGTACATAGCCATGTATAATAATAGATAAAACACTGAAAAAGCCATAACATTTAGCAATTTCTAGCTAATATATATCTTAAATATAATGATCATTACAAATATATGGTACATTTAAGATTAAGGAGGACATGGTATATAATTAAGTTTTATTACTCCATATACTAACAAAAATATGGGAGGGGATTTCATCAAATAGGCGCTGGTTTAGTGGATATTCCCTAATAATAATATATATTACATATACATGTGATGTTTATACATGAAGTTGATCATCTTGACAATCTGATTATAATAAAGAATAAAGAGTTGAATGGGCTTTCGTCAACACAAACAAACTAGTTCATTTCAGGACTAATATACAATTTTATTTCAATAATTCACTTACATATAGGGGAGGAAACCGGAGGACCCAGAGAAAGCCCACAAATCACACCACTTGACTCAATGACTGACCTCATGATGCAATGAGCACGCATTATCCATTCAGTCCCATCCCCCCACTCCTAATTAAATTGTATTACTCAAACAAGATTCACAAACATCCATTCATAGAAGAGAAGTTCTGCATTATTATCATGTCTCAGTTTTATTTAACCAAAATGCAGCTGTTTTGTAGAGCTATAAAAGAGAATTGAGGTAATTTAATGACAATAAACATTTTCTTGAAGTGGTTTCAAGAAATACTATGTAGCGATTTAGTCTGTGTTTCAATACGTTAAGTTAATGCAATATTTGGTCTTTATTTTAATCAGATTATCAACTTGATGTGACTAATTAAAAAAGATTGTGTAAAATTTGTACAATTATTGTGTAGTTCATATAACATTGCACTTTTGATCTTAAATCACTTTCATGCTTCCATTCAAACAATTTCTACGATCTATCGTCTGTCATCTCCAAAAACTGTGCATAGACATCCCGTGTACATTCTCCTTTTTGATTAAAAACAAATTTATAATAACTTCCATCAGCACAAACCACTGAAAAACAAAGACAGATCTTTATGTTAGGAAATGGAAACGCATCCAATTTTTGAGAATTTTAGTCGCATCTATTTGATCTGGTAGAGCCTCATTTTATTCTTAGGCCATACAAAACAGTGTCTAGTCATTTGAATGGGTCGAAAGAACAAGGTCCCATGTACCCATCAGCGTATATGTTAAAGAACCCTTAACAGTTGTAAATCAATTACATTCTGGGGAAAATTTCCCTCATAGCACACTGCATGACATATGCTTGTCTTTATTAGACCAATCGGAGCAGAGAAACAGGATGTTACACCATATTTCATTCATAATGGTGATTATAACTTTATATTTATTATTTTAACAATGTAACATGAATAATAGCTGCATCAAAATGTCAAATTAATTAATAATGAAGCTAGAAGAATAAAGAGATTGAGAGAAAGAGAAATGAGGTTTAATGTCCATTCCATACAAATCTGTCAATTTCGGAACTAACTTTATAAGGTACAATTTCATTTCAATAATTCCCTTGTGTACAGTGGTTTTAAGCAGTGGGAGGAACAGGAGGACCCAGTGAAAACCCACAAGATGTTGGGCAGGCAAACCTTATACTTGTCAGGTACAATCATGGGATTGAAACCATGCCAATTCTGAGGTTGACCTAATTTCATGTTGACATCTGATCTATCACCGAGTCAATTGCCACAGTTTTTTTTTGGTTTTTTTACATATTGTTTATAAAAAACCAAAAAAAAACCCATGCCAATTGATTCAATGACAGATGTCAATTTGAACTTGGGTGGGCCTCATGTTTTCATCCCATCTCGAAAACACATTACTATCAGTCCTGCAGGCACTGCCCCTGACAAGAAGTAGGAACAAGGCTTAAATAATACTGAAGTTCTTCTCGGCCCACAGCGGGATATTCTAGTTGATAGTCATTGCTGCGAGACACTCAGTGCTCAGCCTGGGTTCCATTTTGTTTTCCGTTAGATTTTCATTTAAATTTCAAACCATATTTTTTTTTCCATCAATACAGTGGATTGGAACGGATGGACAACATCAAAAATAAACAAAGCTTAGAAAACTTTTTGTGAAAAAAAATTATCGACCCCAAAATTGCCAGATTCAAAGTTAAATTGCCAAAATCATATTTTTATTGCAATTGGTGGAGATGGTGATCGAAAGGGTGTGTGTTACATGGATGGATGGATGAAAGTACACGTCAAAACAAAAATGTGGATGTATAAAAACAATTAACGACTTACCAATAACAGCATTTTGTTCTGAACCAAAGGCACATATACACTGTGAACCTCCAGGTACTTGGAATTTGGAGAAACTCCATTTTGAGCTGAAGTACTTGGGGAGAAAGCTGGCTGAAGCTAGACTGTAAATATTGAGTTACAAAATACATTAAATTCTTGAAGTGGATAAAAGTTGCCATAATATAAAACCAAATAATACACAAAAATGGCAATCATTAAGAGCATATATAATAATTGTGTAAAAGCCAAGTTTTTAGAGATTAGCTATTTTTATACATAAAACTCTAGAAGAATCCCCAGAACAGCGTTTGTAAGCTAGGACTTTTATGTGTTATACATTTAAAGTTCTGGTTGTAATATTCCATAATATTTACAGAGAAATAATGATTCACATGTTGACAGAAAGTGAACAATCTATTCATCCTATGAAAACCAAACAAGAACCTGGATATACACACTGTATTTTCTATTTAAAAGATTGGGTATTTTTTGGACTGCACATGCTTAAACTACTTCAAGAAACTTTCTATAATCAAATACTGCTAAAATGGCATTTTTGAAATGGCAATTAATCAATGTTTTAATAAAGTCTCTAAGTAATATAGGAAGTTTCCGGGTCTTCATTTATTCTCCAAGTTTTGTAAAATAAAAATTTGTAATATTTTGTATCCTGTTATATTGCCCACTAACCTAGATTGTTTATTTTTCTTGGGATCTTCTGTAGAAAATATATGAACTGTACCATGATCACTAGATACACACAGTAATGATGAATCATGACTAAAATTAATACTGAAAAAACAAAAATTAATATATTAGGAAGCATAATGCTTCAATTTAAAGATTTGATCTTGCTGAAAACTTTAGTGACATATTATTGTCATTTTGTTTTGATTTTGAGTGAAGACTGCATCACTATAGCCTACAGACTGTACAATGAAGTTGGCGCTTACAGCTGACCCCAATGTCTTGATCGGATATTATGCATACGTTTGTTGTTTGATGCTTGCAATGTATGTGTATATTGTGTGTTTTGTTGGCTGTTTTTTTTTGCATGATTTTTTTTATGTGTGGTGGGGTCCACCGGCACTTACTATAACAAGTACAGATAAAGGCATCAGAATTTTATACACCATAAAGAGAGAGAGAAATGGGGTTTAACGTCCACTCGACACAAATTAGGTCATTTTGGGACTAACACATGGTTCAATTTTATTTCAATAATTCTCTTGTGCATAGGAATCTTTAGCAGTGGGGAGAAACCGGAGGACCCGGAGTAAACCCACCAGGTTGGACAGGCGACCCTACTCCCTGTCACGTACAGCTAGGGAATCGAAACCACGCCAGTTGACTCAATGACAGACCTTATGATACAGCGTGCATGTGCTAACCATTCAGCCATCCACTCCCCTATACACCATAAACACATTTAACTGTTTGTTTGGTGAGCCAAATAATCAAAACTAAACGAACCAATAAATATTTGCGCTGTTTGCTCCTCTACGTAGTTCGTGAAGTTGTGTTCCTGTACTGGTGTCAAACACCCTTATTAATGTACCCTTTTCTGACGCTGTAGCTAGTCTTGTGCCTTGTAAGTTCATTGCCATACAACTTAATGGTGCCTCGTGGGCTGGTATATCTAATGGAGACTTTTCTGTGTCTGCTAAATCCACCACTTGGACATGGCCTGGCTTTCGACCAGGGTAAGAAAGAAATGAATTACTGCTGTTAGGACACATTACACATAATCCTGAAATAATTATAAAAAATCAGAAAAATCAATACATAACAGTTTTTTAATTTACACAATAATAAAATTTGTTTGATAATCCTCACTGGGTGGACAAAAGTATACAAAGAGGGTGGAAACAAAAACTTTGGATTCCACAGGAATTTTTAAACACATTTATCAAATGACTAATATTTAGTTGTTTTTTTTTATAGATATTTATGCGACAGAGAGAGATTAGCTTTAATGTCTGCTCAACACAACCTATGTCATTTTGGGACTAACATATTGTACATGTTTATTTCAATAATTCACATAAAGTATGTAGCGGTGGGATGAAACTGGAGTACCTGAAGAAAAACCACGAGGTTGGGAAGGTGAACCTACTTCTCGACATGTACAAGCTTGGGATCGAAACATGCCACATGACTCAATTACAGACCTTATGATCTAAAATGCATGCGTTAGACCACTTTACTACCCAACCCCCCCACAACATGTTGACATACCAATGGTAATCACCTAAGACACAATCTATCATTCTGAAGAAAAAATTCAAAATCTGAATCAAAATGAAATGGAGTTCAACATCCTATTGTTCTGTTCTGACTCAGCTAATGAAGATGTCATAAAAATCTGAATCAATAAATTTGTCTTACCTTTAGGATTATTGCCTGTTTCAAACACATGTAACTGTTGTGGATTTTGTGTGAATGTATAAACTTTGATCATGGTATCGAGAGCTACTACTATCCTGTCACGTCTTAATCTCACACTTCTTACATCTGTAGAAAACTCTAACTCTATCACATGTTTCTTCTTTAAATCATCCCAAACCATTACTATGTATAAATATAAGAGCATGTATATTAGCATGGAACTGTGCAAGGTATAAATGTAAATATTATTATTATTATTATAAAAAAGAAATTTCTAATTGTACCTGGCAATACTTTATTTCAACATTGAATAAATGTTCTGATTACTATACAGATTTCGGGCTACTCCCTGTCCCACCACCTATTTTCAATTCTGTGATAGTACCTAGTCTCGATTTAAATACCTTCTATTTTTATCTTAATGGTGTCTGTCAATCACGAGTCACAACCCACTTGAAACGTACAGTTATCACTAAATAAATAGGTAGAACTCAATGACCATTGAATACCGCTTTGGTTATTCAATGGTTCAAGAGAGTGTATCCCTGCGCAGGGATACACTAGAGTGAATCATTGAATAACCAGAGTGGTATTCAGTGGCCATTGAGTTCTGTTTTTATTCTATAACTACATGCAAATCTCAAAATACATTATACTATCCAGAATATCAAAAAATATTCAAAAAAATATCATCACCAATACTGTTAAAATTCATCAGAGGTTTCACAATTTTTTCGTCCTTTTTTACAATAATTGTGGTTGCCTAGTTGTGACGTCATTACAGTTTGACGTAATTCTGAAAGTGGTGTCATTCTGGACAAAAGTAGTACGTGTCCAAGCCATTGAATACAACCATAGGTTATTCAATGGCTGTATTCAATGATATTTGCTTGTATTTGCATGTAGTTATAGAATAAAATCTAGGAAACTGTTAGTGTCAACAAACAAACAACCCAATACTCAGTACGATGAGTCAGTATTATCTTATTTAATACATGATCATATTCGAAATAAAGAAACACAACTAATTGACTCTCCTTGATCCAGGATTATAAAAGAAACCTAAGTTTACCTTTGTTAGGTGGATATTTAGGATTTTTTCCACCTCCTACTAGTGCTAGATAATTACATCGAAATAACATCTCAATCTGGTGTATACCTCCATCAGCAAAATCTAAAATAATTCATTATACATTTTATTTTATCAATTTTTATTTCTATATATATTCAACAAATATCAAGAGCATACACTCTGTCTATGGAATGAATGAAATGAACTGGGGTTTAACAGCTTACTTTTCTGCACACTCCGTCCTGCATCATTGTCAAGGGGCAACCACATTTGAAAATCCAGAGGAACGCATCTAAATGGAAGCTGGACAAAAATCTTTAATTACTGTAATAACAATGATTACCCTGTCTTTCCTTTTCTTTTAATGGATCTGCATTATAAACTCGAAACCCTCCTTCCATTCCACATGCAAAACATCCTGAAACATTTAAGTACAAATCATTTAATAAAGAATGTTTGATAAAGATCATCCTTGGTACCCCCAGTGGTCTCATTTCATTCCACTCCACTAATTCCTGGATTCATCCATGGGGGAACAAGTATTCAAATTATCTGCCCTTGATGACTGTGCTATTTTTATTGACCAATACGTTTGATACGCTACTAGTTTGTCTGACATAAAGACATCTTTTCCATCAAAAAGATGTTTTAGGACAACTTTTTGTGTGCATATCACTTCTTTTATATTAAATTTCTTGCAAACTTTCTCATAATCAAGCGCACAAGCCGTCATATTAGTGTGAACGTAAACAATGAGGTTAAGACTAGTTTGTAAACTGTTTTTTTGATTGGTTCGTAGAATCAAGCAACGATCACGGGCAGATAATTTGAATATGTGAATACCCCATAAATGAAACCAGGGATAAAGATTAGAGGATCCTAGTTGAAATGTTGCTCAATTATAAACAGTAATTGTATTAGTGCTCATATATTTAATCCAGATTTGACCATTAAAACATTCGAAATCATTATTCAAATATTCAATCCAATTCCAATGATCAATCTTTTATGTGTCAATTTTTCTTTAAATATAAGTATGATTTTATTGAAATAGATAGAAAGAGAAATCAGGTTTAAGGTCCACTTGACACAAACTTGCTCATTTCGTGACTAACGTATGGTTCAATTTTATTTCGATAATTTCCATGTGCGCAGAGGACTTTAGCAGTGAAAGGAAACTACAGGACCAGGGAAAACACCTGAGATTAGACGGCCGCCTCTACTCTTTGTCACGTACAATCGAAACCACAGCACAATGACAGACCTTAGACCATTCGGTCACCTAACCCCTCTTTATATTGAAAGAATATTATTATTAATTTAAATGCCATTATTGAAACACTGCAGGTACTTAATTAAATAAAGTTTGCCTCAGTCTTGGTTCCCCATGACAGGAAAAAGCATCGTATGGATAGGACTAAAAACCTAGGTCTACTACATTTATAATATGTAATTGTATTGTAATGTATAGATTGTATGCAGACTAAAATGTGTACTTGTTGCATGCATGCGAAAGAATCCTTGACAGGTGGAATTTGATTAAGACAAGGTGGAAATGACACTGTCCTTGCAAAATTTTAGTCGTACATATATGACCGCTATTTGTGCAGAAAGATGTAGATTGTTGAATCCCATTTCATTTCTCTCATATCAAAAGCAGCAACCGGTATTATAAAAAATTCAGGTTAAAATAGTAACATTATTTTAACCAGGTCTTGATTTAGATCTAAGTTACATTTACATGTAATATAAAAACTCTTATCTTTGGCCTTATCTTGATATGGCTCTAAATTCTAGTCCTACTCTATATTAAATAAAATACTGTCTATAAAACATGAATACACTAGGCCTACCCTTGTTTAATGTAATAATAAACTAAATAACCTCACTTCATTTGTGAATGGCCTTTGATTATAATAAAGTATATCTTGGGCAGGAACTATACATAGAAATATTTTCAAGATATTAAAATCTAAATAATCCCAGTAGCCTAGGCTAAGTTATAACCAAAATAAGGGGAGGAGCTGAAAACTTTAGTTTAGCCTTGGCTGGGGCTTATCTATTTTAGACTTTATAGCGTATCACAAACAAACTGTGGGCTTCAGTTAGAAAAATATTTATAGACCAAACCTTGATCTTGGTTCCATCCAGCAAATAGCAGTCCATTTCCGTAAGAATTTGATGGACTTAAATTCATGTTTTTGAGAAATTTATTGTTTGGTTTTTGTCTTGTTCATAACATAGTTTAAGGGAAACAACTCTACTTTGAATTTTTTCTACATCCAGACTTTAGCGGTTGAGTTCGGTCTAAAACTAGAGTCATTACATTATGCGCTGTGCCCTAACCAAAAACCTCAGACAAACCATCATAATAAATCGTGGGCGTTCTTTCTCCAGCTCTTCTTAAGGATGTGGGGGTGGGGGGTCGGGGTGGTGTCGTAAATTGACTCGAGGCTGATTACCACGCTTATTGATGCGACGGGGATGGATTGGGATTAGAGCAATTTTCTATCATTTACTTTATAATAGCTTATAAGATCCATAATTCTATCGTATATATGATATAAAGAAGACGATGAGTGAATGTGTATACGTATCTATAACATCAGCGATAAATAAATTCATTATTTATACATTTGGAGCATGACGTGATTTTTAATTTTTTTAAAAACCAGAAGCATTTTATGAAGGGTGTTTCACGTTTCGCCGATGCCCTTTTATTATTATCTCAGGCTAAATCTAGAAGTATAAGATAAATCTATAATAAAATGGTCCTCTCCTGTGATGCATAGGCGTACGAGCTCGATGAATGCTTGAAAATTCATCTGCAGCAAACGCGTTTTCCTGCTAGACCAGCCCGTGAATACAGATACTTCAATGTGGTCCAAAATAGCCTACCTTAGGTGACTTACCTAAATCCCATATCCCAAACAACCAATCACTCGTCGCCGCAAATGCGTTTTTCTGCTATTCTAGTCCGTGAATTAAGCAAGTTTCCAATCGGTTTTCAATCGAAGTCCCGCTCTATGCCGACCTGAATTCCAACCGTCCAAACAGACTGTTGCAAGCTGTATTCACAAAAAAATAATCGATGCCCGAAAAATGTCACTTTACCCGTCTGCCCGAAAAATACGATTGGCCGAAAGTAAGGGGCCTCTACGCTTATGGCTGCGAGGGTAACGATTAGTTAACTGAACAGTCGATCTTTATTTAACCCTATCTCACTTCCTTTGCGTCTATGACAGAATAATTAAAAAAAACCCTACGAGATAGAGTTTTCCTTACAACCTTTCCCCCGTGTCTTATCTATCAAATAGTTCACTGCTATCAGTTATGGCCAGTTAAAACAAGCGGTTTCCATGCAAAATACGCCCACATTTTCCAAGAAATGTACGGGAAGAGGTAAAATCAATAGGACCCATCCTCTCATTCAAGATTTTTTGATCCTTAACATATTATATGGGACAACAATTGCAGCCTCTCTGGACGGCCTACAAATTCATACATATTTCACATTTAACGTAAAAAGTGATAATTCGTAAATTAGGGGTCATAATCCAGAAAGCAACGGTCCAATACGTGCAAATATCGAAAAGAACCCAGGCCTTTAGGGTATATCAAATTGGATGAAAATTCGAACCTCTGACCCACAACCTGGGTATTACATGCTTTTAAGGGTAGCGGTCATTTTTTCGGGCAGATTCGGTTCGATTTTCACGAAATTTGAACTCAGTCGTAATTATGGTGCAACGGTTATATATTTAAACAGTTTTGACAATCAAATAAAAACTGTGAGGTATAAAGGGTCCATGCTCTAAAAATGTCGAGATCTTTCGGTTATAAACATACAATTTCAGTTTCATCAAAATCGTATAAAATTTGTGACCTCTAGAGTGTCCACAACCTCATATGCATATATTTGTCAAGTTCAGCATCACAAGAAACCATCGAATGTGCTTGCATGGTAAGGGATTTAGAAAAGAAATAAAATTTCACTTCATTGCTGAGTAATTTCATTAGCCTGAAAGCGTCTCTAGATCCCCAGGACCTTCCGGGAACTAGGCGGCCCCTGGACCCTCGTCTAAATTCCTAGGATGGTAGCCCCCCCCCCCCAATCAAGAATTGCTTCCGCCGGCCCTGTGGTTGGTGCAGAAAAGTAGGACGTTAGTCTCCATTTTCATTCATTCTTTGTAGGCTGAATGTGAGACCAACCGTGTGATAGCATTTTATATTAAATGTTCACTCACTTGAATACCTTATATATTTAGGTGATATGCAAATACAACAGAGGTGTGTAATGGCCTTAAATTGACAGTTATATCAGATGTTCCAGAGTAATAATACCCTACCTCATACCCGACATATAGCTAACAAGGGTGATAGGTTGTACAGTGGGTCAGGTCAAAACAAAAAGTTAATACCCCTTAATCTGATATTTGGGTTAAAAAAAAAAAAAAGATTACACCGTGGAAAATAAATTCAGTTTTAAAATTGAAATCTCATGGGCATTTTCAATAACTAGTATAATTTAAAAATAAATTCGGTTATCTCCGCGAATATGACTATTCTTGTTTTAAGGGAAGTCTCGACCACGCGAATTTAACGACGAGAAACTCAGGCCTGAAAACAAGAGTGACCTCTCGTTAGTAAAAGTAGTTGCGTTCATTTTATATAAAGCCTAGATAAAGTTGGACAGCAATTCAGCAGCACGATTTACGAAGGTATTTATTTTCTAGACAGTATCAGTATCTTAACATTGAATTTACCTTTGATATAATTACGGAGTGTTTTTGGTTTGAACATATATCGACAAGGCAATGCTGATAACTGCGTTATCGCGACGGTGTTGTAGGATGACTAACATTATCCTATAAAAGTTCGTGGATCTCTACCGTTCGGCCAGGGGCGTGGATTTGTCATAACTTTTGGGGTGGGGGGACGAACGAACCCTGGAACCTGGAACATTTCATTACCAAACGAAACAAATAATTACGAACAGTTTACTGTACCAGTGTTATTTCGATGAAGGCTGTAACTAGGGGTAATATGGAAAATTTGACTACCTACATCAAAGCTGCATAAATATATGAAGTTAAGTGAATCGTTCTACGATCAGGACTGTTCTCTTTGAATATCTTGGCGACATGAAGGGGGTCATTATGCACCGTACACGTCCTCAAGTGGTTCATTCGGTTTTGCGTTATGGAGTTGCGCAGCCAAGTTTTGATACGGCGCAGAGTGCTGAAGGATCGCTCGGCTGAGCAGGAACTAGCAGGGTTCAGCAGTGTGAGATGAGAAGAGCTTCGACAGAAGGGAACATCTGCCGCACTTCAGGTGACATAATCAGGAACGCTTTTAAAATTCGTGCACAAGTGAAATAGATTTGGTCGAAAACTGGCGCTTGAAGAATGTCAATTCTTGATCCAAGTCCTGATTAGTTCCTGATACGTAGAAACAAGCTCATTATCATGTGGATATAAACCTGAAAATCTGTCCTGGCGATCAAAATCATGGGGGGAGGGGCAGAGACCTATTCGCCCCCCCCCCCTTCCAATTCTATTGGGGGGACGCGCCCCCCCCCCCCTAAATCCACGCCCATGCGTTCGGCTGGCAGCATGGGGAATTCTGGAACAGTTCTGTTGTACTCATAGAAGTATCGATAAACATCTGTATGGTTTTACTGACCAGTTTACTGTCCAAATATGACTATTTTAATTTTAGTTATGGCCTTTGGGGTTTATTGTGGAAAATAGACCTATGATAGTTATTAGCTATGCAAATTATAAGTGGTATCAACTGTTCTAGAAAGATTAAGTACACCCTACCTCGTGTACATCTCATATCAGTAAATAGTGAAGCGATATATTGACGATATTATTTCACTAATCGGTGATGTTGTAAGATAGATAAAAAAAATCATAGCAACATAAAAATGAACTTGACCCTATAGATAAAACAAAATATAAGTTTTGGCGACTAGATTAGATTCAACTATATAGTTCTAGAGTAATAACCTTATTCATAACATTATTAGAAAATTCGCTAAACTGCCGACATTGCAAATGTAATCTATTATTTGACGGTTAAATAATGTGCGCATTTGTGTGTTATTTTTATTAAGGATGTCAAAGACCCATACATTGAAAAGGAGTAGATTCGCAAACATATCATCGTGACCAGTCGTGGGATTTCTTAATGTAGTTAGGTGTCCCTCACCCCCACCCCCGCTTGTGAAAATAATGAATTAAAAATTGTCCGGAAATAACTTATTGTCGATTGGATTGTACTGTATTGTTGTAGGCATACCATCTTATCTGGAAGTGGAAATGTGTTCATTTTCCTTTTATATATTTTGTTTTGTCTGTATTTTATTCTACAGTTTGCCTGCATTATCTGCTTGATAGGTAACTGCAATACAATGTAGTAAACTTAATTAGAGGAATCTAATTTAATATGTGCAACATTTTATCATGTCTAAATATCGACTGGTATCCTATAGTCCCTTAAGGTCCGGTCACTGTCACCATCTTAAGTAACAAGACAAACACGGATTGACATATAAGTCAATTAGGTGGGAGCTAGCTCACCGAGATATCCTTTATTCTAATTCAGATGGTAGTTTGACTTCCGATCCCTTGTTTTATGTCCATAATACCCCCCCCCCCCCGAAAAGACAATATTAAACAAAAAAACAAAAACAAACAAAAAACAAAAGCAAGTGTGTTCCGTCTCATAATCATTACCACAGATGACGAATACTCCGGTCTGGAAAATAACTTTAGCTTATCTTTTTTTTTAAATAAAAAAAACCCACTCCAGATTAAGCCAATTCAAATCTTTATTTGGAATTAAATCAAAGACATTTAACTCACAAAGGTATACCAAAGTCTTTCGGTCGTGTATAACCGATATGCTCGTTATGCTAGGTTATGAACTGTCCAATCTTAGATTGTTCACTACAAACCAATACAACTGTAAGGCCATTAGCTTTTGGTAATTAACTCTTCTGTCAGATATTTTGTTGGTTGTGGAGTAGATTGGTAAAACAGACTGTAAGGATCTATATATAAATACCTAACTCAGATAGTAACATTACCATGCTGTAATACACCATACACATGCCCAAACTACTCTCTCTACAACTGAATTATTTTTGGCTCAAAAAACTGTAACGTATTATATCCCCTATGATAGTATCTACAGAAAAGCCTTGATACACAATGGATGTGAAATATTGTTGTATTCTATTTTGATAAATGGTCAGTTTTATAAACTATTTTATGTGATTGTATTAAGGTATTGTATCTTTGTTTGATGTTAATTACTTGATGTCTAACTATGTACTAATGAGTATGTCCACAGAATCTCAAGTATACAGGTTTATGATATACATACACGGATAGGGTACTTGCTTTCTACAACAAGCCCCCCGCCTTCACATAATTATTCTAGGCCATTAATTATCTCAATTATAACTGAGGATTAGAGAAGGTGTAGTTCTACACCCTCTCCCTTCATACATAATGTGTGATGAAGGTTTCTGACAGACAAAATTGGGCTATTTAATACTAATGCAATGGGTGTGCATGCACCCGTTCTATTAATATGATACACATGTAACAGATAACACAACACAGTTACAAACAAACAGATATGATTATTTAATGTCAACAAATTGCTATACAACACAGTGTAATACCCTTTATGAACACCTTGTATCACTTTCCAGTTCGGTAATTTTCCCCATATGGCTGGACTATGTATTTTGAATACTATAATATAATTCATTGAGCTATAAGTAGCATCTACTGAGCTTGATTTTTATATGTAGGCTAATGATGTGCCAGAAGTCAAGAAAAAACCGACCCAAAAAGAAATGGGGTTTAATGCCCCATTTTCTGCACCAACTGAGCTAATTAAATTCATATTACCACAGGTTCATTCACCTGCACGCCGATGTGTATATGGGACTTCGTCTTTGCTACACTGGCAAACACTAGGATCGATACCGGAACCTCCCGCAGGTAACATGAACATATAAGATTCAAACTCAATTTAAGTGAGCACAGTCACTTCATGAACATAAAAAAGGTAAAAATATAAAAATTTTCTTGTATATAAAAACGTCAATAAAAAACGCGAGAAGAGAAGGCGGGTCATCTTCACTCTTCGTCATAATACAGTCAAGTTAAAACAGGAGGTCTAGCTGATTGATGTTTGGTATCGTCAATGCAGAAAAAAAAAGAATCCGCTTGCTGACATTATCTGGACCTGCGAATTATTTACCAATTAAAAACTGTTCGATCAATAAATTTACAATTAACCATGTTCGATCAATAAATTTACAATTAACCATGGGGTTAAAAATGAATTTCATTTAAAACAGTTAAGAACTTTTACGTTTATAATAATAAACATACTGGTTATTGGGAAAAGGATAATAACTTTATCTGAAAAGTAAAACAATAAATAGGTAACATTTTTAAAATTTTATTTTTGGCTTGTTCTGTCGGCATTGGTACAGACTTGGTTACATGTCAACTAAGATTATATCTGAAGACGTAAATCTTCACTAAGCCATGTCGTTACTCAACAAAACAAATCAACATAAAATGGACAGTTTTATTTTTGGAAGAAATCAAAGAAGTCGAGCGATTTATCCTACATTTTCCTTTTATTATATTTCTTTCTTGGTGCATCAATAAAAGCCTCCCTGATTTGCCGAACATCCTTGGCTTTGGACTAACAAACATTATTAAAAAGAATTTGTTTCATTTAGATCGTTTTAAGAATTTAGCAAAATGTCGTTAGCTAATCCCAAAAGACGTCCACAATTCAACAAGTCCGTGAGTATGGTAGAGTTCGATGACTTGGCATCAAGACCTACGCCCAGATGGGATAAAGTTAGAGACCATGTCTACTCACAGAATAAGAACGGAATAAAGACATTGGCGAAACAGGTAAATCAATATTTACACCTTCTCCGATGACATACATACCTATATATAATTGGTGAAATATCTGGTTTACATTGATTTTCACGGAGCTCCTCAAGTGCACGATTCCACTCTTACATATTTATTGCGTTTAAACGAAATATTAATTCATATAACGAAATATTAATTCGTAATAAGAAATTTTAATTAGTAATAACGAAATATTAATTCGTAATAACGAAATATTAATTCATAATAACGAAATATTAATTCGTTATAATACTTCGTTATATAACGAAATATTTAAAATAAGAGTGGGATCATGCATTTAAGGGGCTCCGTAGTTTTGTAGTACTTCTATTCTTGCCCCCCCCCTCCCCTCTGCTTGTAGTGAGTGGCATTTTGTCATGTTTTGGACATTTTATTGGAACAAATAATAGTTCTACATAACTTTACACACAGGGGAAAAGGCCGCCGTTGCCCAGATCTTCCAGTATGACTGAGTTTTCTCCAGACGCCAATTCACAACTGGTTATTCAGCTCTATCAAGAATTAAAAAAAGTCAGCGCACCTTCTATTACTGTGGAAACCGACACGTCACTGCGTGTAAGTATTTTGAATTATCATTGCGGATATCTGTTACTCATACTAATGTTTCCGAACCGTCCATGTTGGAATTATGTATAATATGTATAATAACATAAAACAGCAACTTATTATGGCGTGCTGGGGTTAATCTAATATAGCTTGATTTTGCACTTTACATTAAAGGTTTATCACAGAAGATGGTATATATTGGCAATGTATTCACTATTAGCGGGTCTGCAGGCCTACGTATGGAATTTCTGGGGTCCTATAGCTTCTACCAGTGAACATGCCTACGATTGGAGCGACTCTGATATAGCTTTCTATGCTAATTGGGGACCGATATGCTTTATTCCAATGGTTATTCCCCTTTCATGGTTAATAACAACAAAAGGTATATTTTAACTGTTTTGCTATAGAGCAGGATCACTGGTCAGTCCATTCATTTCTACGCAAACTATTAAGTACAGGAATATATGTATTATCGACACTGTCACGTTTTCCCATCAAAACGACAACGAGAAAGCCTCAAAAGTGGGAAATGTGGGAAATACAGATATTATAAGGAAGCAAAGTATGAAATAAGCAGTATAGCGTCTATAACGAAGCTAAAAAACGAGTAACAACCCATTAGAAAGGAAATTAAATGGGGTTTAGGAAATTTGATTAGCGTTTACAAAAATTATCTCTGATCTTCGAGATAACAGTATTATTATTATTGTGTGTTTCTATCTGTTGACAGAAATATCTGTTTTATTTTCATCAATATCTGACATAAGTTTTTTGTTTCATCCGAACGAATATACGTTGTCCATTGGCAGACCCTCCGTTCTGCACAACTGACAAGGGGGAATGACGCCGGAAAACCCCGTTGAACGTTCTCGCTCTTCACAGGGATCGACCACGGGTCCTCCAGGTTAGCGAGCCAACGTCTTACTCCCTATATTAGAAAGGAAGAACGAAGGAAATTTGTGGTTTTCTTTCTTTAAACTGCCGTGTAAAGATTATTTTTATCTTGTATATATAGAGGATATTTGTCGTTTTAGAGTGAATAACATATTTTATTTCATCGAGAAGCAAGAAAACTTATATTTTCACGAATGCGTAGCATGAGTGAAAATATAAACGTTTTCTTGCTTAGAGATGAAATAAAATATGTTATTCACTCTAAAACGACAAATGTTCTATTTATTTTATGATTTTACAATCATTTTAAGTAAAAACAACATGGACTACTTTGCCAGTGGAATAACACTTTTATTTCACTGATAAAACGCGGTATTCCACTACTGATCATAAAATAAAACGAGATAGCCTTTCTTTCTTTAAACTGTCGTGTAAAGATTCTTGTTATCTTGTATATAACGAGATAGCTATTTTGTAATAACAAGATGACTACCTTGTTACAACGAAATAGCTACCTTGTAATAACAAGATAATGAGAATTTCTTTTTACATTTGATTGATCCTAACGGTCTCCCGTATAAACTAATTAGGTAAAAATCAAGTGTTGCATATTATATCGTCAAGATGAACAGGCAAGTTCTATACGATTAACGCATTATTTCCAGAATATTTAAGACTGTCATCCCTGAAACAAAATCAACATAAAAACTCCAATTTCTTCAACAATTTTACTTTTAACCCAAATCAAAGCGGTTTATCCATTTTAATACTTGCTTCTAGGATTACGATGGGCAATATTAGTGGCCGCTATTCTCGTAGCAGCGGGTTCAGGAATCAGATGTACATATACGGAGCCACCAATTAATAAATGGTAACCATCTTCAAATATTTTTATATTGTTTATTTATGAATTATGGAAAGGGACAGCATATCCAGCCACAAACATCCGAAAGTGAACGCAACGGTTACTAATTACGCTTATCATGGATAGTCATATATTGTATGCACTATTGGGAGATGCTAATTGTAGGCCAGTTGGGGAGGTTCGGGAATTTCCGGAGTCCACAATGACCGCTTTATATAAATGAGTATTTTGGGGAATAGTAACCCTAACCCTTTTTAGAGGGGTAAATGTAAATTGGATCCAAGTTCAGTCTTCTAAAAAGGGTTAGAGTTAACTTCACAATTATTGTCTAATAAAAATGGTTTGATGTATTGGCAGCATGTACCTACCAGGGTATAGCTGAGATTCCAGAACCTCGATTAATCCAACCTCGACATATTTAGTGTATTTTAGACAAAACTGTATTAGTGATAAACATATTTTACAATAATATGATACTTAAAGGCTCAATACCACTCTTGTTGTAACTAAATAATATGTCCCATTCTTTATTCTGGTCAACCAATTATACTATTTTACAATATTCCAATTAATTGATAATACAAATTTCATCTTAACACATCTAATTTAAAAAATTGGAAAAATTCAACTAAATGGTTTGAAAAGCCTGACGTAAAGCTTTTCAAATTTGACTTGGATTTAAAAATATTTTTGAACCCTTTGGACTAGTAAAATAGGATTTAATGGATAATTTACACAACAGGTAAGACACTTACACATCTAGTACTTAGAATAGGGCTATTTTTTATTTTCTGGAGCTGTCAAGCCAGCAAGAGTGTTATTGTCCCTTAAACAAGCCAATCGTATTTGTTACAGGTTGGTTCATTCCGGCCATTTATTAAACGGTTTAGCAGGACCAATAGCTAAAGGTATGGGGCCGGTGGTTTCAGCTGTTTGGTTTCCACCAGATCAACGAACAACGGCTACAGCTATCATGTCCGGTTCACAGTGGTGTGCAATTGGTATTTCATTTATAGCAGGTAGATAATAATTACATTACACATAAGGAACGTTATGGCTTTGGAGACCTTCAGTGGCGGATCCAGGTGGGAGTGGGGTTGTAGCTGATGAAATTCAGTCAAGTGGCATGGCTTCGATCCTGAATGAGGTCGCATGCCTAACCTCGTAGTGTCTTCCCTGTGTGCCCCCTTATACACGCATGCGAATTAGTGAAGTGGAATTATATATATATATATATTTAATGGTGCTTAACATATTTGGCAAATATTTTTTTTTTCAGGTCCATTAGTTGTTCCGGAGACGCATAAAAAATGGAATGTCACAACTGATGTTGAACAACAAAATACAAGTCAGATAAATAACACCAATCGTCATGGTATGATGTATATCGTTTAATATGAAAGCTTAGTAGAGGCCCGCACCCATTCTTTTGATTTGGTTTAAGAATAGGTCATATGTGTTAATTCTCTTGCCCAAGAAGTTTAAAAATGTACTGATCAATAATTCAGAAAATCAGATACAAGACCAGGTGTCTGGGTAATCTCCAATCTCTACCAGGATCGATTCCAAATACGGCAAACCGCGTAGATTCTGATAGATTGCCGGGGACAGGTAATAAGGATTAAATCACCCCAAATATTTCTAGAGATTAGGCGAATCACTACATAAACGTCATTTTCCGGCTTCTCCTTTCGTCCAGTCTTATTATTTCTAATCATTTAATAATACAAAAAAACTACACTGAATCAGCAAGGAAAAATAAAATCAGGAAGAGCTTAATGTTGAAAATTCGGTATACAAATTTTCATTTTGGAATTCGCATTAATCTTTTTCGATCTTGTTCAACAATATATTAGATACTGTTTTCTATTTAAACTCGTCCAATGTGTTTTTCCTTGTTTTAATTGAATCCGAAATATTAAAATTCTTATTAATTTTCCACCTGTGTTATCATTTATACTAGATTTGATTTGTGTTAGTTTACAACGACGTGAATAAATTATCTGGGCTGCATTTTAGTTTTGTTATTTTAGTCTTCATAATACTGCATTCTAAACATGTTTGTGTTTAAATAGAATAATGAGAAACTGTATTGTGTTTTTATAGATGAGATTGTTGAAATAGAGAGAAAGGATATTCTGATGTATCTATATGGCTGTAAGTAAATTAAATCATTCATGGAAATTTCTTAAATTGTAGATCCATCTTTTTTAAAATGGCAACACAGACAGTGCGTAATATTTAAATACCAAGCTCTGCAACATAAAAGACTGTAATAGAATGGGTCTGCCCCAAAAGCTTGTCTCTAGATGTTAAGATGTTACTATTGAAATAAATAACACCTATAGCCCAATTTTTCACTTTATCCAGAAAAATACTTTATTGATAAATTATTGTACAATCTGATTAAAACGCGGATCCTATTTCGTTTTTTTTATAGTTCAAAATTTCGTTTTACTTCTCTTTACTACACTAGGATCTGGAAGAGTTATTATATTATCGGCGTTTTGGTTGAAGTGAGGGATAAACCAATGAAACGGTCTGTTACGGCGACTTCTTGGCGAGCCATGCACATAACTGTGGGTAAACCACTAGAAACGTCAATGCTGATTGATTAATCAATGTCTGACGCCATACGGTCAAAAGCCGCTCGTACAAACTCTAACACGACCTTCGAGTACAACTTGTAAGATCTTCATGTAGTATAGGCCATCGAAAGTATCAAAAAACGAAACGAAATCAGATTGTTGTACCAATGGTAATTTCTTAAATTTCAAATCTTTTATGTTTGTCTTGAAATATGTAGCCCTAACTGGTAAATTCAAACATGATTTTACAAACTGGTGATGACCAATCATTTTGTTTCTAATGAAAACTTTATTATCTAATTATACAGGTTTTGGATTTTGTGCCCTATTACTGCTGGTTATTTTGATTTATTTCCCCGCTAAGCCTCCACGCCCTCCAAGTTCTACAGCTTCTATAGATAGATTAAATTATTGGACTGGAATTAAACACCTGATAAGGTATCAAGTATGTCATACAATATAAACATATGCCGCAGATATCTTTTCATCTTGATATAATAACAATAACAGTATTGAGGGGCTAGATCTATTTCTTAAGGTCCTCTCCAGAATTCGTAAAGGTCGCTGAGTGTGATTGTTGACGAGATTGTGGGTTGAGGTTGAGGTAATTAGGGTTACGGCTAGGTCAAGGGATAGGGTTGGGGTTAGCGCTAGCCCCGTTTACATCTCGTGACCTTTGACCAAATCTGGAGGTGACCCTAAGAAATAAAGCTAACCAGTATTGAGGTGTACGTGGTTTTTATTTTACCTGGTCCAATTTATACTTTATGTTTAATCTGCAAACAATTTATTTTTGATCGTAACTACTCAAATGTAGGAAATAGCTCTACTCCTCGTTTATACTGCAAAAAGTAAACCCTTGCTAAGAAATCTTACAGGGTCTGACTTTTACATCGAATATTTGCAGTAGGTTTTTCTTTTTTTTTCAACCATAATCCCAAAGTGATACGCGAGTGAGGGAGAATTCCAAGCAGTCTTTCCTCATTCTTTCACAGAAAAAATAATATAACTATACAATATAATTTCATAAGGGTAAGCGATTGGGTAGCCCAGTGATGATTGATGCGTGTGTCGGAATTCTGACTCCACTCTTGTATTCTATCTGATGTTAATTGACAAAATGGGTTGGTGGTGGGAGAGGGAATTGCAGGGGTTGGAGATAACAGTTTCGTTTCTATCAAAAGTAGTACAAATACACATTATTTGTGTGGGGTATCAAACGAGAAGAACTGGGTCATGTGGTTTTCATGCGAATTAATGAGATAAAAATGTAGGCGTCATATATAGGATGAACGTTAAACCATGGACATACATTATATGTATTATAAGGTTCATGGTTAAACCCTCATCTACTCCTGCTCTCTGTTTTAGACGCCGTCCACAGTTTTGGTTTGTAGCTGTTTTATATGGTTATTCTACAGGTATTAGAGATGCTTGGAGTTCTATGTTAAATGTTAATCTTAAAGCCCATGATATATCACAGGTTTGGTTTTATTTGTTAATAAATTAAAGTGGGGCCTTGGTCTCATACATTCGGGTGAAAACTGAAAGAATCGGTTTGATTTGACATGTTACGTGCCGGTATATTTTATGAGGTACAAATCTGTCTTGTAATTTAAATGATTGTGAACAGTCGGCTAAGTAAATTAATCGTATTAAAGGAGCTAAGTCTCTAAGTCATTATTTTAGAACACAAATTAGAATTCAATATATCCAGTAATTAAGAAACAATTAACATTTTATAATCAGTACACGAGTCGTGTACCCTATGGTTTCGGGTGCCATTTTGTAATGAACAAATAAAAACATATCCGACAACACAATGTCGAAGTAATTAGCTAAGGCTGATTCACAAACGACAAAATAATAGTTTTAAAAACGTGTAGAATGCACTTACAGGCGTAAACAACTGCCGTTCAATATGAACTGTTCACGTACTTCACCAAACATAATCGATTAGAAATTACAATATGTTTTTCAAAAATTAAATATAAATCACTTTGCATACTGTACATTCATATTACATTAATGTGTGCTTTTAGAACCATTTTTGTCTCTTTCAAGGTTCCAAAAAATAGAGTCATACGCCCTTTAAGATTACCCTATCACTAATCATATACATGTATCAACATTTCCCAATACTAATCGTTTGTATACAGTTTGTCCCATCACTAATGTATACAGCCCCTCTCATTTATATTATACTATTCAAAAAAAGTAGGGGATATTTGATTTTGGGGGCATAATACTAAAATATGCAAATGACTACGAAAAAAGTCACTATAGAACCTAACAGAAGAAACATTTCCAGTTACATGTGACGCCAAAACGCACCAATAGCTACCGCATGGAATGCATGTGATGCTTGGGATCATCATGGGGGTCCAACCCAAGATTTGCACGACTCTGACTTTGAATGTTACAGTCATTGTGGCATTGAATTCCAGGGTGGAAACATCAGTTTAATTGTTTTAGTGACCAGAAAACAAATTTTGATATGCGTCGGCTTACCCAAAATGAAAGGTAACGTGCCCTTGGCATGCTACAGATCGGCACAACACAGGCGGTTGTGGCGCGGACGATGAATGTTTCTCAGTCTGTCATAAGCAGGCTATGGTCCAGATACCGTGATACACAATCTGTACAGGACAGACCACGCTCAGGTCGACCAAGGGCGACAACTCAAGCCCAGGATCGATTTATCCGTACCTTGGCCTTGAGAAATCGTGTCATCACAGCAAATCAGATCAGCGCTCGTCTTCAAACAGACACTGGTGTGAGAGTGAGTGGCCAGACGATCTATTTCTTAAAGCCATCTCCAGATTTGGTCAAGGGTCACGAGATGTAAAGATTGCTAGCGCTAACCCCAACCTGATCGTTGGACCTAACCCTTAACCAAACGCTAACCCACAATCTCGTCAACAATCACGTACCCTAACCTTATTTCCATCTCATCGACCTTGAAGAAATCTAGAGGTGGCCTCAAGAAATAGATCTAGCCGCTATGCGAGCTAAGAGATTTGTATCCAGATCCCACTCCAGCGGGCATAAAAAGGTTCTTCTCGGCCCACACCGGAAATAGTATCCAGAACATACTAGTCGAGTGTATTCTCAGCTACAGCGGTCCCTGTCAATACAACATAGAATTGTGTCATGTGTGTATACATGTCATTGAATTATTTTATACCATTGGTGATTAATGTTTTGTAGATAGATGGTGGTTGGATTGGATTTTACTCAGCAGTAGCGAGTTGGATTGCTGGTATTATTATAGCCAAGTAACTATGCCCAAAATTTCTAATCTTTAAACACTCTTTTGGTGATCAGTCAGGGTCACCACTTTTGTGAATTAAACTACCGTACCCGTACATCTGCTCATAAGTCATTTATTGAATACTTTTAGTGATTTTGTATGTAGAATTTACATTTTTGAATATAATAATGATTAGTATGATACTGTAAGGAAATAATATTACTAATAATGGTTTAAAAACTGTTTCTTTTCAGATTTGCAGATACATTTAAAAAACGTTTTAAATTATTTTTAATAACACTATACTTACTGAGTACGTTGATGTATATATGGCTGACTTTGACCTTAGTAAATATTTTACCTGCTAGTCGAGGTAAGTTGGTTCATTCCTGATGTTTCACGGTGTTTTATGGGAAAAAACTAAATACCCTATAATCAACCCTCTAGATCATCGGATGACTGTAATATTGAATGTATTAAAACTCTCTCGACAATTATAAATTTAAAGTTAATATGGAGAATCGAGTCTTTGTTTATTATCGTAGCAACGCTACTAAACCTCACACACTCATTACTTCTCTCGGAATAAAGTAATTTGACTAAAACTTTCAATATCTTAATTTCTCATTATCTATTTTTGAAGTATTATAGCAAGAACGACCAGTTCTATATATAAATATTACATAAAGTATCATTAACTAGTTCTAACTAGCATTAACGAGTTCGCGAACTCTAAGTATAGACATAAAATGAAAAGCAAAAGAGATACCTTGTTCAAATGGGCATTATCTGTAAAGTAATTCATAGAATTGAACTCACACCCAGAACTTCTCATTTCTTTAAAAGAGACACATATTTAATATGTGATAATGATATTTGATAATAGTAATTACTAATGATAATAGAATATTGCTTATAATGATAATCATAGATGGAAATTGTCACGATATGATTGTTGATTGGGATCCTTGATTTTTATAATTGATTATGATAGTATATAATTGATAATAATCACAATGATAAGCAGTAAGGATAAATTTGAACTAAATGTGTATGAATCTACATTTCAGCCACCCTGTATGCTTCAGTCATTTTATCCAGTATATTTATAGGATCAACGACGCCTTTATTTTATGAATCAGCTTGTGAAATAGCTTATCCTGTATCCGAGGGTATAGCAAATCTGGTTTTAACCATGCAGGCTAATATAGCATCACTCATTTTTCTAGGGGTTTTATCAATACCAAATATAGGTAAGATCAACTTAATAATATCAGATTGATATTTTCAGGTTTCTCGTAATAGAATGGGGTACACTGGTTTCTAGTGATTTCAGCTGAGAGCTAATATAACGTCAAATACCTTGTGATATCATACAAAATGAAATGAAATGGGGTTTAACGTCCTACAGTTATGCTCCGACTGGGCGAATGAAGACGGACATACGCCATACAGTGTGCCATGAGGGAAACTTTGCCCAGACAGCGGCACTATGGCCTACTCCTATATCGAATTCCAACTGCCAAGGGATCTTGTATACACGGGACCTCGGTTTTTCATCCCATCATAACAACTAGACAGATGTCCTTGTCAGGCCCTCCGTCCTGCACCACTGACACGGAAAACCACATCGGAAAATCTCAATGAACTTTCTTGGCCAATGTAGTGATCGAACACGCGACCTTCAGGCTAGCGAGGATATCATAACACATTTTTCCTAGTAAATTTTACCGGTTTTGTAAAAGAATACAGAAAATCTTCACATATTTATTTGGGACACGTATAAACAAACACAGAATGGAGTACCGGTAGTTGATGGTTAGTTTGTACCGGGGCATATATTGGTTATAACTTTTCAACCATTGTATGCTCAAGCTATCTATCATCTATTTCATTCTGTTTAAAACCTTTTGGTTGTCCTCATTTTAAAAATTAACCCAAAAATCAACAGGAATTTAACCATATTGTACCAATTACTATGAAAGTAACAGTCAGTAATTACTGTTTGGCTAGTTATGCGTGATTTGTGAGCGTACATGAAGGGGGGGGGGCTGGCAAGGAATAGTGCCTAGTCGTTCGGGTGGGACGAAAAACTGAAGACACGTCGGCGCATAAATTTCCCTCATGTCATAGCACACTGTACGGCGTGTGACCAACTTCATTAGCCAAGCTCGTGCAGAAAAGTAGTTAGTTAAACCTCAATCCATTCATCCATGCGATCTCAATGTACGCCTTCCACACAGAAGGTATCTTGTTGGGATACCGACAAGGAGTGCCTATGCATGTAGTATCTGGTTTTATGTGTATGTTTCAGGGACTGTTTGGATGAATTGGTTATTAATAGCAGCGTTTGCTACAACAACTGTATCCCTGTTCTTTATGAAGGAAACCCACACTAGGTCAGATATTGATGAAAATAAAACAGATATTTCACTTAAACATGGTCAACAAACAGAAACACATATGTAATAATAATAACACTATTATGCAATAAAACATCTAACGAATTTAATAATCTCGAAGACCAGAGATATTTCGAGGCCAGTCATAGGCGTACGATGAATGTTAGCGGGGTAGAATCAGAAATGCCCTAAAATAAATCTCTATCCACCTCATTATGTATTGTTTAATGGTCGAGAGCGAGACATTAAGTAATATATTGTAACAACAAGAGGACCGTCAGGTCCGAGTGTTTTTACAATATATTACGCAATGTCTCAGCTCGAGACCATTAAACATCTTAAAATACAGACACTCCGCACGTGCGTTTACAGTGAAATACGTCACTCGAGTCTAATATTTGACAAGGTACGATTGGCAAGTTGCCCGTACGATTATTTGAAATAATGGTACGCCAACATCAAAGGGTGACGTCACATCTGTATTTTAAAGCCAAAGAAGCGTTATATACCACGCACTGAAAGAAAAGCAAAGGAATGTACATTATAATTTACCACATTGTTGTTGTATATTAAAACATAATCAGACACAATTATAGTTGTATTTGATATGATGTATTGTTTTCGAGTTTTTCTCTTTTACTATTTATTTGTTCTTTTGTACTATTTCCAGTTTGTTTTATTTATATGTATGTTGCTCTTAATGTGCGTATTGATGCAATAAAATCTTGTCTTAAAATCTTATCTCATTTTAATAGGACGTCCAGTATAGATTGAAATTCGTGTTCTTCATTTCGAATATTATGAACGTCAAAAAAATAACATGCTGCATATTTCCATAGTCAGTGAGTCAAGTGGCGTGGTTTTGATCCCTCACTTATACGTGACATGGTCGTCTGTTTAACCTCGTTCTTGTGGCCCATGGTCACCTATTGTAGTTGATAATGAAATCGTGGATGAAGTATCTATAGGTTCTTCTGTAACTACTATAGATTCTTCTGTTACTACTATAGACTCCATTTTAACATCTACGGGATGTTATTACATATGTATTTTAACGTATCCGCTACTTTAATCACTAAAAACAAAGATATGTCTCCAACTGACCCAATCCATTCTTCCGTTTAGCTCGGGTTGAAAAATGCCAAGTTCTAGTGTTTTGAGAATTTTATTTACGGTCGCTGAGGCGGGTTCGGTCGGCCGGAAATTCTTCTTTGTTTCGGGACTTTTGTGCGGTAAGACTGCGCATGGAACTAAATGAACCATGGACCTTATAATACATTATAAGGTTCATGAATGAATTAATATAAATTAATCTTGAAATAAACTACATCGATACTCTCACTATAGCCTTTGTGGTATCATTTTAAATAGCGTAAAGTATTTATTATTTATTTTCTAGCATTTCTAGCTTAATTACTGAGGAAGGCTCGGGACGATTCGGATGTTGTAAATACGTGTACCGAAATTTCAGTGTCTGCAGAAAATCACGCCAACACAGATTTATAGGACCTGGGGGCATGAGAAATAAAAAGTTTAGGGCCGGCGCTTTGCGATAAAAAAAAAAAAAAATGGGTTAGGTCGGGTAACTTGAAATACAGGTATTTTATTCTTGCCTTATAAAGTATACATTATGCATGATCAGAGTCGACCATATTCCACATTCAATCCTTAAACTAAAACCATATAAAATGTTAATTATTGTTCCCAAATCGGGCTCCTTTTAATCCCAAAAGTCAAATATCACAAAAAAGTCGTGTAAAATAAATTATTGCAACCGCAATTGTTAAATATATTTTTAGTATCAAATTCTTAACTAAAGTTATATATTATTATCACTCTGGACAATCCACTTTTTGTTCTGGTTTAGCTCTCTGGTACCACTCAGTCCAACTACCATCATAAACAGCTACGTCGTCTTTACCACAAAGATAGGCAGCTAAAGCTATCGAACACGCAGATATTCCTGAAATATAGAACAAGAGATTTTGTCTGAAAAAAAAATAAAATGAAATGGGGTTTAATGACCTACCTTTCTGCGTCAACCAGGCTAATGAAGACGGACCACGCAGTAGGTTACGAGCGACATTTTGCCCGAACAGTGGCGTTTCTCAAGCGGAGCTAACTGTAGACCTGCAGCTTAACTTTATTATGTTTGTTCTAACTTTAGTCTATAGCGTTTTAAATATTTCACCTATTTGACCTCATCCTATTCAAACTTGCCATGGAAAATATCCTATGGTATTTTAACAGGGTCCCAGTCAAACAGACCAACGACCGATTGAGGAATCGGTCGCTCTTTGGTTTTCGTGAGCAACCCAGAGTTTCTAAATTATGAAGTTTTGGTTGAGAATTACCTGAGCCACAAGACGCCACGATGGGCTTTTGAAGATCGACATTTACTTCATCAAACAACTTCTTTAGTTCTGCTGGATCTAAGACTTTCCTCGTTTCCTGGTCCATTATTTTAGTAAAAGGTAAATTACGGGAATTAGGTATATGCCCAGGTTTTATGTCTGAAATAAACATGGAAAAAAAAATTGTCTACGATATCACCTTAGGTGGAAGTGGACGTAAAACCCCAGAAACGAACGAACGATGAAAAAAAAATTATTTGTTTTTCGGTTAGAATACAATTAACAATCTATAATCTTGGTATTTTTCATTTACCTCTCTTCAAGACAATTTGGGGTTGAGTGGTTTAACGCGTGCGCTTCGGGTCATGATGTCTGTCATTGAGACAAGTGGTGTGGTCTCTATGTAGTCGCCTGCTTAACCTCGTGGGTTTTCTCCCACTGATAAAGATCCCTACGTTAGTCACAAAATGAACTAGTCTCTCTCTCTCTCTCTCTCTCTCTCTCTCTCTCACACACACACACACACACCCACACACACACACACAATAAGAAATACATACCCGCTCTTGGCTCCGGGCTCTTTCCTATAAATCTTCCATTAGGCCTGGCATCAACCAACTGAAAAGCATTTTTAGTAATGTTTTCTTCTATATCTTCAAAGTTCTTCACCAATTCAGGTCTAAATTTACTGACAAACTTTTGTTTCTGAACGGGCGTCGTCCCCTCTCCTGTTACCGCTTCGCCTTTCGCAATCCATGATGGAAGGCCTCCTTCGAGGATGGAAACTGCATTGTAACCAAAAAGTCTAAAGGTCCACCAAACCCTTTGGGCCGAAAATACTCCAAACTTAGCATTATTATCATACACTACTACATGCGTGTCGTTATTCACACCAAGGTTGCCGACATATTCTTCAAATTGACTCGGTGACGGTATCATATGCGACATTGGTATACTCTTGTTAGCACATTCGTCAATATCAAAGAAAAGGGCACCTGTTATATGTTCTTTACTGTACTCCTCTCTCGCATTTCTACCTGTGTTAGGAAGATGCCATGATGCATCAATAATGCGAATAGTTTTGCAGCTACTTGCCACTCTCTCGGCTAACCATTTGACGGATACTAACGCTGGATGGTTCATATTTATATGCAATTTCTTTGCCCTTTAAAATACAACAAAATACGCGTAACATACATGTGCAAGACAACATCAATTAAAGATGCATTATGTAAGATTTAAATAAAAATCTGGTCGTTCTTGCTATATTTGTTGAAAAATGAATATATTTAAAATTTCAGTCAAAATACTTTTTTCTGAAAGAAATTATGAGTGTTTGAATTTTTGACAAGATATAGCGTAAATAGTCACGATTATCAAGTACCATTTTTACGATAATTATCAAATCCCCAATCATCCATTTTAACGTTAAATTATTAAATGGCGTGAGTGTTCAAATCCATTTAATATTTCGGCCATCTAACGAACTAGAGAGTTGATTATAAAGTTATAAATAAATTTCAACATTATAATTTATGTACATCTGAAGCCAGAAAAAAGACCTGCAATAGGCAAATTTAGCTCTTACATAATGGCTCTTTGATACAATTATCTGGTTTGCACCTGGCATATCCAATAATCTGTAAATTTTTTCCATTGTATTCATATAAAGTCCGACCTAAATCTTAGCATCCCATAACAAAATAAGATTTTTATAAAATACATAAAGAGTATAATGCTAAGCAAATACATTAAAAATAGTAAAACAAGTGGAACAAAAACCTTATTAATTTTCTCCAGAAAATATATATGCGTTGTTATCCGATCAAACCTGCTGTCTAACTGCCTAGGTGTCGCCAGGTGTGGCGCACGTTCGATTAGTGATAAATGCCTTTAGCACTGACAATCACGTTCGCATGCCGTCATCGAAGTGGTCTGTCGGTAGAGGTCAAAGGTAGAAGACCGCCCGAAATTAGCCATCCTTACAAATTGAGGTTAAACATGAAATATCTAATACTTGTAAGTAAATATCTCACCACATATAAAAACATATATTATAAGGGAATAGTAACATTAAATGGTTATTAAATAACAACTCAGACAACCCAAGAAGAAACAAATTACCAGAGCCAAGTCAGTTAACCTGCAAATAGATCCTGTATATCTGAGACCTGACAATCGAGAAAATTATAAGTCGCTCCAACCATTAATATAACAACACTTTGACAAACTGGTAGAATTCGGTCAGGGAGGGGGGGGGGGTAAATGTTAATTCAAAATTTCTGTGAAAACATGGACAATTATGACTATTCTGCAACAACCACTTTTGTCCATTTTTTTTTTGCAAATGTAGGTTTTTATTTGTTGTTTTTTTTATTTTGTTTTTGTTTGTTTTTATTTTGTTTTGGTGATATAAGCGACCGGACACATGTCATGTGATAGAAAAACAACAACATGGCCAGGAAGAGTGAAGATAATCTGAAAGAAAAAATTAAAAACCTATTTGGTATCAACAAAAACCAGTCCCCATCAGCATTACCCAAAAGTCAAATAAAAGAGATCACAATAACTAGAGAACTTTTAAGGGTATGCACAGATTATGCACATTTCATTTTGCAAAGTAGAAACAAAAATTTGAGCAAAAACTTACTAAAATATACCCATTTCTCTTTACTATTTATACTATTACTGTATATCAACATTAAATCTGAGTTTGCTATGTACACTAAAGTTGTACAATAAGCCCTTCTAAAACCCTTATCACTAAACTTGGTATTATGAGACTTTATTTCGAAATGCAATATTCCTATACTATAAATAGAAATTTTGGCATTGATAATTGTCTTCATCATAAACATTATAAATGTTAAAATGTTAATGTAAAGGCGATTTTACACGATTTTACTTTTGTTCAAGAACATCATCCCACATTTATTTGTAGGTTGATGTTTGCAGGAAAATGTCCTATTGTGACAGGCTTGAACCAATCTAATTAAAATATAGATCTATATTTTGTTTCGTTTTTTATACTTTCGATGGCCTACACTACATGTAGATCTAACAAGTTATAGTGGGAGTTCACATTCTATGACGTCAGGTACCAAGCAAGCGACATTTGACCCGATTACGTCAGTCATTCGATTAACCAATCAGCGACCGCTATGTATTTTTTTTATCTATTTTTGCTTTGTTTTGATTTCTATTGCCGCTAATGTCTACCCACAGTTCCGCGCAAAAAAGGTCAAACGCTCGATTCGACAGACCATTTGATTGGCTGACCCCTCATTTCAAGCAGAACACGAGTTAGATAAGAAGCTTCCAGATCCAAGTGTAGTAAAGACAAGTAAAATCGAAATTTTGAACTATAAAATAAAAACGAAACGAAATTGGATCTGTGTTTTAATCAGATTGGGCTTGAACATGTTGGATACTGTTGGAGCATGCACATTAATTTGAACATTGCAGGAACCAATGAGAATGCATCTCTGTAGGTCACATGAAAATCAAGAAACTTTTATAGGATGCCTGAGATCTTCGTCCATCAGATGCTTGAGGAGGGAATGAAATGCACCCAACCCCCTCACCCTTCTCTGTATTCACTGCTTTGCCCAAACATGTGGTTTTCTTAATCTATTTCTTCTCCTACACCTAATTATGAGGAGCATAATAAATGTTTCAGTTCCAAAGGAAAGCAACCTTCTGTGGAAATCCATGATGAAAAGTGATATTTCCGTCTAAAAATTGTGAGTTTTTCCTCCAAAAATTGTGAGGTTTCCCTCCCAAATCCTTAAAACATCTATCAACAATCTTGAACATGTTCACTAAATGTTGTATGGTTTAAATTGACATGTTCGTGGACACCTCATAGCCTTGAACATCATCCTACAAATGTTAGATGATGTTCTTGAACAAAAGTAGGATTGTGTAAAATTGCCTTAAAGGACAATATTGGTGCCAGTCATTATCACATATGTGTTAGAGCTGGTTAAACACATTCCAAATATATTTTTAACACAGAGATCATTGCTACGATAGCTGAGTAATACAGGTTTCCCGTATCGGAAGTGGCGAACGCCAAAGGAAAACACGAGTCGCTGCTCTATATAACTGACTGAAGTGACAAGTGATAACAGATACACGGCCGAATTTCTACTCACTAAAAATTCCTTCCAAGACCAAAAGTTGTTATATGGGACTGTAAGAGGATATCTGACAATTCAATAAAGTAATTGAATGTCATTAGATAAGAGAACACGAGAAAAATAGAAATAGTCTGTACATTTCCTTGTTTATATTCATTCTATACCTTATAAAAACATGGTAATGCACGGACTTTTTCTGTTTTTATTACGTGTTCTCTTATCTAGTGGCAGTCAATTCTTTTTATGAATTGTCAGATATCCTCTCACAGTCTCACACAACAACTTATGGTCTTCGAAGGAATTATTAGTGAGCAGAAATTCGGCCATGTATATGTTATCACTCGTCGCTTCAGTCAGTTATATAGAGCGGTGACTCGTGTTTTCCTTTGGCGTTCGTAACTTCCGATACGGGAAACCTGTATTACTCAGCTATCGTAGCAATGATCGCTGTGTTAAAAGTATATTTGGAATGTGTTTAACCAGCTCTAACACATATGTGATAATGACTGGCACCAATATTGTCCTTTAATGGCCATCAGTGGTCACATCACATGCAAACCAATCTGATTACCTGTAGGGAAGTGGAATATTTTAGAGTCATTTTAGAATAATTTAGTCATAATTATACATATACTATATACATGTATATTATTTATGCTCTCTTTTCACTGTGCATTACTTTATATAACTTACTGTATATCTAATGTGTTTCAAAAACATAGACATATATGTAATAGGCCTATGTTATATCCATAGGCCTGAAGTGTTATAAGTTTGTGTTATTTCATACTTAAAAACATCTTAGAAAGATTAGGTTACTAAAATTTTAATGACTTAATGAATGTAGAATTTGTAAATAAAAAAAAGAAAGAAGGAAAAAAAAAAAGGAAAAAATAAAATGACACATTATCAATAGCCTATCACAAAATAGTTCTGTTTTTCTTTGGGGGGGCGGGGGGGAATGATCAGTGAGATTGGTACAAGTATTAATTATAATACATGTATAAAGGTATTCTAAGCTTTTCAACATATATATATTTAATCTTGAACAGGAAATTGGACCAGATAGCCCTGCAAATAATCGCATGAAAAGAATACAAGAACTGTCAGAGACCGTGAGACAGAAACGATTGGAAGAGGTGGGTTTACAATTAATTTTAGGGAACATATTATCAATCAACTTTATAGATTGTTTCAATGTTTTAAAATAAGTTGCTGCAGATTATTGTCACACAACCTTCCATCAGCATTTATAGGCTACAATTTTATCATTATCATACAATCTTTTTATAAATATTTTAACTATTATTGGTTGTTAAAGGAAAACCCTGTTTTCAATTATCACTATACTAGTTCATTCTTTTATACCAACACTGCAGAGGCCATATTTAGTATTCCATGTTTTGAATTTCTATCTTTTTGAAAGGACGAATCTCAGTAATACAAATGATTTTTATTGAACACTGACTTTTTATTATTGTGGAATGGAGGTTAAACTTCCTTTTCCTGGCAACCTAGGCTCATATGCTACTACATACTGGTAATAATATTCTACAAAGATACAGTTTTAATTGTTTTCATTATTACTTTACTTAAACTGATGATAACAGAATGCAGTCGAAGCTCTACTAAATGCCACAAGTGATTTATTAAAACCCCACACTACCAATGAAAACAGACAAACAGCCCTGTACTTCATGCAGTCTCTTTTACAAGGCCAGGTAGGTTATTGTAATTACATTTATGAAGTTACCTTTCGAATTAGAAAGATTTAATACATCGCTTAACAGGGATTTATTTTGGCCATATTATTGCTTGAAATAGAGAAAGTCATCATGGCTCACAGATTTTCCAGCATAGCTTCACCTTGTCTGTGGTACAAGACAGTGGGCCTGGCAAGGAATAGTGTCTAATCGTTCAGATGTATAAAAACAACATGTCCCTGGTACACTTTGGCATGCACATAAAAGAACTCTTGACAGTTGGATTTCGAAATAAAAGTAGGCTGTAGTGCCACTGTCTGGGCAAAATTTTCCTCATAGCACACTGCATATGACGTATACCAGTCTTTGAATAATAATTCATTTTGCTTGAAATATAAGATGGAAAGTGTGTATTAAAATACTTTTACTGGGCAAAATTTTCCTCATAGCACACTGCATATGACGTATACCAGTCTTTGATTAATATTTCATTTTGCTTGAAATATAAGATGGAAAGTGTGTATTAAAATACTTTCACATCATGTACTAGTTTATTATGCACCTTCCCATTTGGAAACGGTTCCATTTTTCGGCTTAAAATTTTTGCGTAAATAATGTGTGATGCATTTTATGTTTTTGTATCTATTTCAGTTAAACACATTAGGTATATTAAGAGGTCATTTCTTCCATATAATAGACAATCTTTCCTCTCCAAATGATCTTCAATTCAGGTAAATCATGTGATTATTTTTGAATTATTATGTATTTGAAATGTTGTACCATTAAAATACCTCCTACCAACAGTGTGGTTGGGTCGTCATGTGGTCTAATTGAGTCAAGTGGCAAGTTTTCAATCCAAAGCTTGTATGTGTGACCTAGCCTGTGTCAAGTGTATGTTGAACCCAATTTTCTCAATTCTCTCACCAACACAGTTCTGTTTTTCTTGAGTTCGGTTGATTTCCCACTTTGATGTTCTACTTTTTTCTCTAAATTTACCTAAACATCTAAAGATCCTCAAGAAAACAGATTCGATTCTATATTTTCCGTCTACCAACTGCATCACATAGTTTTTCTCCATCTAATTTTTAAATAA